TGGATTAGATTGTGTGAAGGGGGGGGGGGGGGGGTTGTGGGTGTACATTGGTGAGAGGGGTGAAAATACAATAACATATGTTTTAGGCGTGTAGGCGTGGGCTTGATACACAGTGTCTTGGGTTGGTGGTGGATGGAATCACGTGGCTTTTTGAATGATTCACTCTTGCTAGTATTGGTATAGGGCTCTGTACTTGTGCAGTTGCTCATGCGCTGCGATTCCAAGACACTCTGCCTGGTAAAATTACTAGATTGGCAGGCTCAGTATTCATAGATGGAGAGGCGGCTCTACAAGGATTTCTCATTCGCCTTCAGGATGAGTGGGCCAAATGCGTGGGTCCTTCCATAACGTGCCCTGTTTCCTTCACTCCAGAGGATAGGACGCAGCAGCAACGTCTCGAGGCGAGTTGGCGACAAAGTATCGAGCTGATGGATGAGGTTTTGGCCGATATTGGTGCCTATCATGGATGAAACGGTTGGGTCAATTCATAACAACTACCCCGTGTACAAGGAGCGGCTACCCCGATGTCGCGAGAACTTTCTCAATCGCTACGCGAAAACTGAAGAGAAGAGGAGGGAATGGAGTCGAGTCTAGCCGCTTGAAGGTAAACCACGTCAAACAACTTTCTTCTAGGCTTGGAATGAAAGAGAGATACTGTGGCACGATACGAGATCGAGTTCAAAAAATGAAGAGGTGGCCCACAGTCGAGCTGGTAGATACAGAGTTCAAATCTAATTTCTGTACTGTATCAAGTAGAGATGGTAGTCTCTCCACTCTAGAAAGAAATTCTAGTATATATCCGCAGTCTGACTACGTGATACTACAGCACAATACATACTGCGTCGTATCTTTGACAGTGTTCGCAGCCGCCCACCATAGTTGGAATTATCAAGGGTTCCATGCAAAGGATCTGGATGAATTCTGATCCCTCTAAAAGAAAATGAAACAGTCGTACCCCCTGATGCTAAGTCCCGGGAACAACCTGGAATGGGGCTGTTGAACACGAGACTTATCGTAGGAAGGACATCGCACGACCACGAGTGAAAGTAATTGGTTGGTGTAGCTTTCTCTGTGGAGTTATTCCACCCAATGACACTGACCAGCAGCAATCTCATGGCCGTTGCGCATGAGTAGCAGTTTTCGACAGTCAATAGATTGACACACGCAGGTTCAACGTTCTCGATAGAAGAACCACACTCACGGAATGCATACCTGTGAGCCCTTAGATATATAGTACTCTATTGAGTCACTACCTAGCTGAGCTACATGTGATACAGGTTTAGCAGTATAGTCGTGTAGTAGTAGCAACTAGAAAGGAAGAAAAAAACAGCTTGTATCAAAGTACTCAGCTAGCTACAGTGTGCTCCAGCGACTACCCGCCCAACGATTCTGAGAGATATGGATATGATGTCTCTGCTTGTTGACAATGGCTGGTGGGTGTCGCCAACGAGCGACAACTGCCGACTGCCCTTTCCACAAGATTCATGCTCAACTCATGGAGGAACCGTAACACGGTGATAGTGTAGTGGCTGATTGGGAGCTCGTAAAGCTTGGTGCAGAGGTATAAATGGTCTGTGACCTTCACTAGATGTAAGATGCCTCGTATCAGGGACAATGTCAGTTGGTTCCTTGATCTTTCGTGTGCTTCTTGAAAACCCTTCCCTCTGGCATGTGTGTTGGTGAGGCTCTGAGTTATGATAGTAATTAACTAGCTATGGGTTGCGGTTACCAAGGTATAGCGGAAGACAAAGCACAACGTACAAATAGCAACTGGATGATACCGTGCGCTACCGCAAAATGCCGGAACCAGGAAAGGATCAGGAATAGTAGTAGTATGATGATGGGTTTGTTGGAGCTGCTAAGCAGCTAGGCTAAGTACAGGATATCCGCCAAAGTGTCTTCAAATGGCTCCTCGACTTCCATGTACGTGACTAGCTAGTTCAAAGATATCGTCTTCGTCTTCGTCTCCATCTTCGTCGCCCTCGGTATGCTAGTGCTCAGATCGTAGAGCACGTCGGCGACAAGCAGATCTATATTTCCAGTGTTGACAAGGAGGGCAAGGGATAGTAGAATAAGAATACAATGTCCCCGCGAAGTACTTTGACGAGTTGCAGCAGTTGAGCACCGAGACAGATGTGATATATGATAGTGTAATCCCTGCGACGATTCTGATCAGCATAGTAAAAAAAGGTAATCGAAGAGCATCTTTGGGATACGTACAAGTCGCCAAGAGAGTATACATCCCCTCCTGGGCTCTTGGTTAGGCACAATTGCCTCGCATATCCGCCGCCGGCGAGTGATAGTGGCTGATTGCTGTAGTGACTGGAAAAATGTAGTCGTTGGAAGAATGTGGTTGTTGTGAAAGGATGGTTGTTGGAAAAAGGACATTTTGTTGCGACTGCCTTCCACACCAATCTCGTTTGGTCTTTTGTCCAGCGGTGATTGACCACAAGAAAGCGGATAACGTCAGGACTTTGCTGGAGAACCTCAGGATGGGATTCCACGTTGAAGATGCGTCAAACGGATTTCCTGTCGACTAGGAAGTCTGATAGGTAGGTATCTCTGCATTGGACAGTCAGATACAGTGTCATCATCACTCACTGTGTTCCTTGAAAATCCTTACCAAGCCCGAACCCATGATGTGTCTGCTCGCCATTCGTAAATTTATCTTCCCCTCCGTAAGATACTTGAATAGCATTTTGAATTTCCATGCATGAGCAACAATGATGGCTAGAGGTTCAGGGTACGGTGGTGGTATCGCGAGGGGGGAAGATGCGAAGGTGGGTGAACTAGTTGTTCCGTGCATGCAGCGATGGTGTGATGAGGATGAAGGTGGAGTGGCATCTGGACAGCCTGGCTCTTGTTTATATGCACTAGTCTGAGCCTGGAAGCCACTGCGGCCCAGACAGTGACTTCTGCTTATACTGACTATTGCACCTTCTACAGTAGTGTCACTTCGCGACTGTCCCGCCCAACAACACTTATTGGTGGCTACCCAATTAGTGTTACCCACGAGTGACAGCCACCGACTGGTTGATTGACTAGTATAGCCAATGTCTCTGATGCAAAAACTCCCCTATGGCATACATAATGACGAAACCAGAGATATAGGGCTAGTCTACTGCTTAGCTCCCCTCTTCACAGCATATTATAAACAGTATAATCGTATCGAAGCAGCTCCACTAATCAAGCGGCTGTTACAAATATCTGCAGGTGCATGTCTGTAAGGGGTGTCATGGGAAGTGCATAAGTGCGTAGAGTAATCACTACAAAGGAAGAGGGGACTTGCATAGCAGTGGCCGACAGGTGTCGCTGCCAAGCGGCAGTAGCTGATTGGCGTTTGCCCGCAATCCGTAGTGACTAATTACTGTAGGTGTTGCTCAATTCCAACCAGGTATTTTCGATCAGCACCATTGGATACGATTCTTACGTACATTCAATGTTACCTCTATCACTCGGCATGTCCCACTTGCTTTTACAGCTGACAGAAGGTGACTGAATATTCCTTGATGCGGTGCTGTTGCGCACAGGTAAAAGCCATTTAGGGCTTGTGAGTGTCCTCTATTTTTTTTACCAGGTTCGGGCTGTGCTAGTGAAGTCTCGAGATCCAAGATGAGACGTTGTAGTGTTGTCCTCTACGAATTGCTAGATGGACACGTCCTAGGCAGAAAGTGTGGGCGATGTACTGTAATCTATTGCACTCGATGTGACAGGCTGTCCTGTAGCTAGCATGGATATCAAATGCAAGTGATGACAATGACATTCAATCCAGGGATCGAGCGTTGAATGTTCACCGTATATCAACAGCTCTACATTGCAAGTGCAGCTACAAGTGTTGCAAGGGGGCAATGCATGCACTCGTGATCTTCAGGGTTCGTCGGATGATATCGCATGATGGGAATGACGAAGATATCAGAACTTTCTCGCCTGTATGGTAGCCCATAGATATCTCACATTCCACCGGAAGTAGTGAAATGTGTTAGTATTATCTTGAACTTATCAATCAAAATCACTCATGAGGAGTGCGAATGTAGAACTCCCATCGGAACAGAAAACCATTGTCATTGACGTGGCAATAGGTTGTTGAATCCATACAGGATGTAGTGTGGGACAAGGCTGAGAGACACGCCTTCTTACAATTGAACACCGACATCTCGAATGTGATTTCCCCTGAATAAATTGGTGTAAAAGTAAGCATACCCTCCGAGTCAACAACCCAATCTGAATTGAAACTAGGCTCAGCCTCAGCTGCTGGTCCTTGTGAAACTGGCTAGTGTGTTCGGGCCGAACCTTAATCGTAAGGGGGCCCGACCGTAAGGATGGAGGAACATTAGACATGAAAGCTGAGAATTGAAAGACACCAACTACTTTGTTGGCCATGTCATTGAGTTGTCAATTACAGAGTAACGAAGTGTATGATTAGTAGCAAAAGCTGCAGGTGTAGGCACTCGATACACGTGTTTGGTGGTTGAGAAGGGTCTGGTGTTGCAAGAGGAGTGAGGTTGTTGGCAAGGCGTGTCTGCAGCCACTAGTGCTTGTCAAGGAGGCTAAGCGACTGGGCAGCCATTCTCCAACCAGCCTGGTGGCGCTGTGCTGACTACATGTGCACCTTTGTGATTGCTAGTATCCTTGGACTCGATGTTGTTTGTTGCCCCAGAGCTACTAGGTATTTTTCTCATCAATAGCAGCAATACGACGATGTAGCCGAGCGAATGGGAGCTAGAGATGTTTATAACCAAACAGATTGCTTAGAGAACTGCATGTCGGTCCACCAGTAAGATAGGGATCGGAGAGGTCTGCATTAGGAAGAGATGGCGGAGACTGCAGACTGGGTGTGAGCATGTGGCCTGGTGTTAGGTTAAGAGCAATCGGCATCGATTGCATATGCCAGCCAATTGGCAGCTGTGATTTTGATTTCAGCCACTGTGGCGCATGTCGACCGGGTTTGAGCAAGATTCCAAGTTTTGGCCGTGATACTACTTGGAGCTAGCGGACGGGTTGTGAGTGGCAATCTGTAGGGAGAATCGACGATGGGTATGCTGGCTAAGGAGACACTAGGCGCAGGTTGTGGGGAGCGAATGGGCATGGCAAAGACAGAGGGGAGATTGGGCGTGGATGAGCTGGCGATGGGTTCCACCAGGATGGCCTGTGATTGTGACGTTGGGCCATCATGTCACTGCTATCAAGTGAGACGGACCAGGGAATAGGGCATCGTGAATGAAACCGGGCGTATGCTGCAGGTTTAGCTCTGGACTCGCGCGGCAATATGCAAATGACGCGTTGCGCATGCAATGCAGATGCAGGCGGCGGGTGGGCGGCGGAGACAATGGCATAAGGGCGGGAGTTGGTCGATGGATGAAGATGCATGCTCTCCCTCGCCCATGCTCTTCTATCCTCCGCCCGGTCCAAGCGCTGGAGATTGGACATGTCATACAACTGACTGGGCTCGCAGAAGCACAACACAACGCACTTTGTTTTGGCGCCGTCTGATAACCCTCTGGCTTGTGTCCGTCCGCTCCTTTTTGGTTTTGTCGTTTCCTTCCATCCACACATACACATTCACACACCCACTGTTCTCCTGTGCACGCTCCCCGCCAGCCACGGTCCATGAGCACATGCAGCGCGGGCATCCGGCGCATCCCAGACTAAGCTCGTCCCCATCGCCCCTTGGCTCTGTGGCGCACCAAAGAGCCAGCGCCGCGGACAGGACGACGGGGTGATTTCTGCCCTCGCAATTCATCTTGGTAAATTGCCCATCACCGCCGCGCACCACGGCCGCTGAGCGCTTCCCACGACTGCATGCTGGCCGACTCGGGCTCGTTGCCGGCATGAGCAACATCAAGACACGGCTGCAAAAGGCGCGGTCCAAGTTCTCGCGCCGCAACAGCGAGGCGTCGACGAGAGCACGCTCGATAGCATCGTCGGCGGGCAGCGACCGGCATGGCCACGCGCCGCCACCGCCGCTGAGCAGCCCGCTGCGCAAGAGCGTATCGCTGCCAAAGTTGGCGGAGCCAGCGGCCTCTAAGGCGTTGCGGTCGGGGGCGCATGTTGACGAGGACGAGGACGAGGAGACGATGGTGGTGGGCAGAGCGGCGACCGAGAGTCAGGCCGACGCAGAAGCAAGCACCGGCAGCATCAATACGTCGAGAGACGGGCGGTCGAGCTGCACCCAGGCCAGCACTGCGCCCAGCAGCTCCCACGACGCCCGCAAGCCCTCCGCCGACGTGCCCATTGTCTGTCCCCAGGTCACGCTCGAGGCTCCTACGCCCGTTCACCCCGGAGCGCCGCCTGCCGAGCTCGACCGCCCTGCCCTGCCCGACTCGCTTTCTTCAACTCCCTCGTCTGTCCCCGCAACCACCACGACGACAGCCACAACCACGGCCACAACCACCTCGCTCCCCTCATCGCCCACCCTCCAACGCCACCACTCCACCATCACCACCGCCTCTGCCGCCGATGCTCATCTAATCACCAACCTGCTCGGCCCTGACTCCTCCCAGGCCGTCACGCCCTCAGGCCCGCCTACAGCCATCAACCACGCTGGCGCGCCGCCATCTACAGCCCGCACCGCCGGCACGATGCACCGCAAGATTTGGGTCAAGCGGCCCAATGCCTCGGCCACACTCGTCCAGATCAGAGAGGACGACCTGGTCGACGACGTACGCGACATGATTCTAAAAAAGTATGCAAACTCGCTGGGCAGGAGCTTCGACGCGCCAGACGTTACTCTGCGAATTGTGCCCCGCAACAGCCAGCGCACAGGTGAACGCACTCTCGGCCCCGAGGAGGACATGTGCCGCACCATCGACACCTACTTCCCCGGCGGCCAGACGGTCCACGAGGCCCTTATCATCGACGTGCCCTCGCGACGCACCCCCAAGCCATCGCCCCGCGTGCCTCCTTACTACCACCATGAAGACGGCGTCCACCAACAGACCGAGTACTTCCCCCCCATGTCAGCCATCACCCCCTCGCCAGCCAACATGAGCGCTAGCTTGCAGCACCCTCACGACAACCGTATTCCCGTGCCCCACCTCCACTCCATATCAGTCCTAAACACCGGACAGCTACCTAACCTGCCATCTCCCGGCGGCACACGACGCGGGCCCATGCATCCACATCGTCCCAAGTACAACAGAACACACACCGCCTCTCCCACCACCCTAGGCGGTGGTATTCCCTCTTCTGCCACCTCTATCCGCCCTGCAAACCGTCCACGACATGACTCGTCAGCGTCCGAAGCGAAGAACTCGGCGGCCTCGAATAACCCAATACCCACACCCCCCGTCCCCGCCGATCCAACGCCTCACCAGCAAACGCTTCAGACATCGACTCCACCCACCCCGCGCATCTCATCACCGCAACTCAATACCAAGAAGAAGCGGAGAAAGGTCGCAGTAGAGCCGCCAGCCCTGCCTGCTGGGCTGTTGGACGGATCAGTGCCCCCTATCAACGTCTTGATTGTCGAAGACAACATCATCAACTTGCGTGTCCTGGGCGCTTTCATGCAGAGATTAAAGGTTCGTTGGCAACGCGCAATGAACGGAAAAGAGGCAGTCACCAAATGGAAAGCCGGTGGATTCCACTTGGTGCTGATGGACATCCAACTGCCCGTCATGAATGGTCTCGAAGCAACAAAAGAGATTAGGCGGCTGGAGCGTGTCAACGGCATTGGTGTCTTCAGCAGTGACAGCAGCGAAGCACCCAACACTCGGCTTGGCAACGACGGCAAAGGCCAAGACGAGCTAAGAGAGGATGACAAGCTAGGTGACAAGGGAATGTTCAAGAGCCCAGTCATTATTGTCGCACTCACGGCCAGTTCGCTGCAAAGTGACAGGCACGAGGCTTTGGCTGCTGGCTGCAATGATTTCTTGACAAAGGTATGCTGACCCACCTCTCCTAACATAGAGTCTTACTAACATCTCCTTTAGCCTGTGAACTTTGTCTGGCTTGAACGAAAAGTAAAGGAATGGGGCTGCATGCAAGCTCTAATCGACTTTGACGGTTGGCGCAAGTGGAAAGATTTTGCCGACAAATCTGAGAACAACGATACCACTTCAAAGCTTTCCGGCAGTTTTACAAGCGTTGCCCCAAACAAAAAGGCTAACGCTAGCCCAACTACGGCGACATCAGAAACCAATGGCGTCAAGAAGGACGCTGAGATGGAGAGGAAAAACAAGCGCAAGAGTTTGGGAGTAGTGCCGCAACCTGTGCTAAGAGAAGAGGCTGAACCACAGCCAGCTGAAGTCGACAGTGGAGACAACTAAGCCCTACTATCAACTCCCGTGATACTAAGCATCAAAGCCTCTACCTCGCCCTCTCTGCGACTCGACATTTCCTAACATCACAACTACAACTACCTCCAACCTACCACACACACCCTTACCAATTACCATATTCGCCTGGCTGTAAATTGTCTTGACCATTTTTCCTTGCATTGTACGAGAACGACTAGCTCTATTTCCTTGTGTCAGCATTTCCATCTCATCATACGTGCACCTGCCCGTCTGCCGGTCTTTTGGGCAAGCTTCTTCTGCACACCTATCTTCATGTAATCTGATTCTTCGGTCTAGGGAAGGGAAGACTGCTCTCTGTTGTACACGTACACGATTTGAACGCTCAATTTGCGATGAGTGTTTGTTTGCTATAGCGTTGAAAGATGCCGAGGGGTACGTGGTACCCGCTCGCTCTTAATGTTAATTTTTGGATTCCCATGCCTGACGAGTGTATTGTGTGAAGTTTTAAGAACGAAATCAGGTGTCAACCCACGTGTGGAGTGGAGACAGTGTTCTTGGGATAGGGTACGGTTGCAGTGTGACAGGGGTCCATCGTTGCCTGGCCAACTAGCTCGCTTAGACTTTCCGTTTAACAGTACCCTTGCACACGTCAAACCAGAGCCTCACCTCACCCATCACTCTCGACACCCCTTGTTCATTCGCTCAAAATGCCACCAAAAGTTGTATACGGAAAGAAAAGAAATGGCGAACGTAATGCGTTCACGAAGTTGTTGTCGCCCGAGAAGGAAGTCGCACCCAGAAAAGTGAAAAGCCAAAATGCGGACAGTAGCACAACAAGTGATTGGCGGGAGCAGTTGCTGGCAGCGGCGGAAGCAGAGGAAAGCACATTCCAGGCACCAAATGAGGCTTCGGTACTGGAGAGGGCGTTTGAGGATTTGCAGATCGACAAGAAGCAAAGTGCAAAGGAGGAGAGAACTACGACAAAGAAGAGAACGAAACCACAGAAAGAAGCCAAGGCCAGCCAAGATGTCGATGTTACCAAGGAGAACATTGCCCCGATAGAGAATGTGCTGGAACAGAGTGTGAAGACACCAGCGATCAATGCTGCGGAAGATGAGGAAAACCAGACGATGCTGCAGAAGCCCCGGAAGCCGAGAAAAGTGCTTAGCGACCGAAATATCAATGCCTCGGATCCAACAAACTGTCCGGTAGCAGCCGCACCAAGACTGAAAAAGGAGAAGAAGCGTGCTATACCAACCCCGGTCCCTCAACTGCCTACTCCAGAACCGACACCTGAACCCGACGACCTCTATTCCATTTATGCCTCCCCATTACTAGCTCTCAGCGACAGGAAGAAGATTGTCGCATTTCAGGACTGGGCAGACGAGCTGGAGCCTCACTTTGAAGTTTCCAAAATTGCAGAAGCCTCCTTCTCAGAAGTGTATCGCCTATCATCGACATCATCAGCCAATGGTGTCAAAGAAGAGTCTGTTCTGAAGGTGGTGGCGCTCAAGACACCGCCCACTGTTCCTCTCCCATGCCAACTACACGGCCGCGCTGTACGAGACCTTGAAGCGCAGATAGAAAAGGAAACAGCACAGCGAGACGAAGATGACCAGTTCAAATCCCTAGTCGACGATGTTTTGTCAGAAGTCAAGCTCCTCCAAAATCTCACTCACATTCCCGGTTTTACAGTCTTCCGCGATCTGACTGTTGTGCAAGGCCGGCCCTCGGCGTCCTTTAACGATGCGTGGAAAGAGTGGAATAAATCGCGCCCGCGGGGCAAGAAGAGCGAATTCCCGGACCCCAGTAAGAAATCCAGCTACGACGAAAACCAACTCTGGGCCGTGGTGGAAATGCAAGATGCAGGTACCGACTGCGAAAAGATGATGGAGGCAGGTCATTTAGCCTCCATCTGGGAGGTATGGGATGTTTTCTGGGGTGTAGCCATTAGCGTCGGAAAAGCAGAGGAAGCATGTCGCTTTGAGCATCGCGACCTGCATCTGGGCAACATCTGCGTGCGGTCCAGTCGGACAGGAGGCGACGTATCGCAGCCCAGCATCAAAGATCCTCTGCGTCGCAAATTGCGGTTCACAGGACTCGATACTACAGTAATTGATTACACGCTTTCGCGCGCAGACGTTGTCGCTGCACCAGCATCTCCCGCATCATCACGCAGATTATCGAGTCTATCCCACATCTCCAGCTCAACAGCCGCAAGCCACACCGACAACTCAGAATCTGAAGTCGCATACCTCGATCTCGACAAGGACCCCGCCATCTTCGACGGTGACGCAAGCGAAGAATATCAATACGAAATCTACCGCTACATGCGTGGCGCAACCGTTTTTGGAAACCCAATGGCATTCCAACCCCCCGTTCAATCCGCCGCGGACGAACTACTACACCGCGAAGAAAGCGATGGCTCTGCTCCCCGTCAAAACACACACATCCGATTCGACCAAGAAACCGAACAAGGCAAAGACGGAAACGACAAAGAAGCATCACCATGGCGTTCCTTCCACCCAAAAACAAACCTCCTCTGGCTCCACTTCCTCCTCCACAAACTCCTGAACCACCTTTCTTCTTCCTCCCCTGCACCCCACAACACCATCCCTACCAATCACTTCCTCATCAAGCTCACCAATCCTTCCCCCGATGATAACACAGACGATGTCGCGTCTAAAATTGAAAAGAAAGCAGCGAGGTTGTACAAAGTACTCAGACGTGTCAGCGAGTTACTGTGTCCTGTTGCCCTGGGCAGACAAGACAGTCTGGAGAGTGTGAAGGAATTGGTTGTCCTGGCGCTTGAGGAGAGGTGGGTTAGGGTTGGTGATGTTGCGGGGTGAAAGTGGCCGCATGGTTTTGTTTTGTGTATGTGTGTGTGTGTCCTTGGGATTTTTTTTCCTCTCCTTCTCCTCCCTCTTTTCTTTTTCTTTTTCATGGGAAAGATTGGATGGAGGGGATCACGAAGTTATGAATGCATGAATGGGGTGTTTGGGGGTTGCATATATTCTTCTTTTTTTTGTTCTTCATATCAAAATTCTACTTGCATATCGTTTTCATCACAGTTTGAGTTGTGTATATCTTTGAGTGGTGTACGTGAATGATATTCTTATTGTGATTTTTCCTTCACCACAATACATGTGTATGTACGGATAGATTCCCCATCTCTTTTTATGTGTAAACTTCGCAAGAACCAGCCAGACGAGGAAAAGACCCGTCGTGTTTCAATTGCGAGACGAAGAATGTTAAAATGGATTAGTAATGACAGAAGAAAAAAGGATGTGTGGTGAGTGTTCCGTTCCCCCTCGCCTTGCAATGCCCGCTGATCACTTGCCCCAGATCAGATTTCCGTAGTCCTGGCGCCTCAAACAACAACAAAGAAGAAATGCTAGCAACCACCGTTTAGCGCTATGCAATAAGTGTCTGACCTTCTTCTCTTCCAAACTTTGAAACCAAACAATACTTTTGATCCCCCGCATCTCCCGTTTTTTACTCTACCTTGCCCCCTTACAATCCTTACCCGTGACAAACGCCGATGCTAAAACACAAATGCTGATTAGACAAACGAAACAAAAGGGTTCAAAAACCCCATGGAACAAAATTACAGAGCAAGAAACCAAAAATAAGGTTAGACCAAAAGGTTGAGGAGAGAACAAAAAAAGACAAACAAGAAAAAAGCGCTGGTCATGACAAAATATCATCGCTCATAACTTCATCACAAGGCCACTTTTTCGCTGTTTTGAGAGAGAGGGGTCCATATTACGCCACATAAGCAGGTGGTGCCTCAATCTCATCGTCGTTCTGCCAAAAGCTTCGCCCCGCAGGGGCGGTCTTTGTGCGTGTGTGGTTCGAGGGCCGTTGCCGTGAAGACCGGTCCTTTTCTTCCTGCACTTTTCTCGCAATTTCCTGTGCCATCTTGTGCATCCAGGCTTGCTCGAGGATGCCGCCGGAGCTGCATGCCATGTTGGTATTAGGTGGAGAGAGGGCGCGAGGGGGTGAGCATAGAGCTGAGAGGGACGAGACTTTGTCGAAAGACAGGGAGCGTAGGAGTGGAGAGGTGGATTGCTGGGCCTGTCGTAACTTGTTGTGGGAAATGGGCGGGCGTCGAGATCCGCGGGATATGAATGGGTCTTCAAGATGTACAAATGGTAGCGAGTGCTGAGGTGCTACCTGCTTCGACTTTGCAGATCTAGGTGCTTTTGAGAATTCAGGTGCAGGGGCGAGAGAACCAAAAGCAGGTGGCTCTTCGAGTACCGGCTTGGACTCAGGTATACGTTTAGGGGTACCAACATCGAGGCTTCCACGCCTGCCCTCGAAGCGTACCCCTGGCTGTGTGGGACTCATTGGCGGGGTAGCCAGCTCGTCTTCTGCCTCCCTCTCTTCTGGTATAACGCTTGATGTTTCGGATGCATATGCGCTCGGCAGTGGCGTGTTTTCTCCTGTAGATACACCAGAGTCTGGGGTGTCCTTTTTCCGTAGATCGACGACGCGCTTCTTGCGTTTGCGCATGCCCCCAGCGCGCGAGCGAGCGGAGCCGAGACTGAGTCCGGCCGACGAGGAAAAGGATGAAACCATGGTCGGCCGTGAGCTCAGGGTCTCGTTGCCCGTGCTATCAGAAGCAACCGAGGATGCGCCAGACTTTAGGCTACCAAACGTTGACTGTATCCTTGACAAACTGCCTTGCGTGAGTGCAGGGGTGGCGACGCCAGACTCGGGCCGGTCGGGATGGCCCGCCCAGGCACGGAACACAGCATCACGTATGCCGGGTGTGAAGAGCGACAAGGTTCGTTGGGATTCGGAGAGTGCGGCGAGGCGGAGGATATTCTTCTGCGAAAACGAGGCATGTATCTCGCCCGAGTCTAGGGACAAGGCAGATATTTGGGCCTCGTCTAGGGGATTGCCAAAGGCATCAACGGCATCTTGAGGCGGGGATGCAAGAGGGTCGATGGCAGCGGTTGTGTCCTTGGCCCCCTCCAAGCGTTCTTCCATGTCGATTTCGCGGTACTCTGGCGAGAGCATTCGGTGGGATAACCTATGGATGATAGCCGGCAAGTCTTCCATGAACAGCACACGCAATTGGCCCTCAATCTCCTTTTGGAGGTAGTCGCGCACAAAGGGGATGGAGTCAAAGGTTGAAGAGACCTTGAGCGAATCGAGGGGGTCGTTGCGGAAGACGAGCGTCAGGCCTTTTTGCTTGGAGAAGACGAGGATGACGAAGCCAGACAGGCGGATTTCGGAGAGGGTGATTTGGAGAGGTATCGTCAGGCCCGAGGCGGCGGCCAAGGGCTGGGGCGAGGCAAAGTCTGGTTTTGTGGATAAGTACGTCTTAAGCGGGTTTGCCTGGACCTTTGTCTTGAGGGTCAGGAAGGCATCGCCGGCGTACGACATTTTGAAAATACCCCTGAACCTGTCCTCTGCTAGGTCGCCAATCTCCAGTATCTCCAGCTCGGGCGGGGTGGTGCCCAGGTTCAGCTCGGTGACGATGATGTCGTCGACGATGATGGGCGGCTTGGGCGACTTGTTCAGGGCGGTGGTGAGCATGTCGCGGGCGCGCGACGTGTCTGCGATGAGCGGGGACCAGTTGAAGTTGAAAGCCATGGCGATTGATTGGGATCGCCCGGTGCGGCGAGGGTTGAGCGTCGACTTTACCGGGCGGGAGCTAGAGATTGGCAGGTGATGGTGCGGTCGCGTGCATTTGCCATGCGATCACACGAGACACTGACGGGGGAGACGGAGCGGGAGGCGTGGGACGGAGAGGGTGTGTTGACGGAGAGTATGTAGAGGATGGTATGGGGGCGGGAGGGCGCAGTGGGAGGGCGGGTGCAGATATGGCTGGAGGTGGTGGGTGGAGTGATGGGAGTGTGCGAGGCGCGAGGATATTTGCGGGAGTCGAGGGGATTTTCCGGGATTGAGGTACCGACGTCAAGGATGATGCTGCTCGGCACCCGCCAACTTTTTTCCACCTCCCCTCGGCCGTGCGTCTCCCCAGGGCCTGGCCTATCACTGCCACCATCCTTCACAGCCTACGCTGCGCTACTGTGCTTCCACGTCGACTGGCGGTGAAGATTCTGGAGCACCACCATGCGGGGTTGTCTTTTGCGATGGAGCCATAGGCCGCAGCCTCGACCGACCGTTTCACCAGCCCTGGCCCCCAGTCGCTTGCCAGCACAGCTACACACACTCTCAGGCTATGAATATCCATTTACACATGCAAGGTAATCTGCGACAGGACGGCCGTCCTACTCTCTCCACGTAATGCTAGCCGATCCCAGCCATGTCATCCTACCCCAGCATCCGCCTACTGGCCCACGACACCAAACAGCCAATGGCGCAAAAAGGAGTCTTGTTTCACCCACACCCTGTGGCTTGGGCAACCACATGTGCCGTCTGCGTGTTCACGCCGGACTGGCAACGTCAAATTCCTTCTTCATGCATCCCATCCGCCGCCCTGACAAGTCATCCTCGACCACGCGTCACGCGCCCTCATCCTCCTTCAAGAGCTGCTCGACGGCCGCAACCTTGTCCTTGAACCCTTGCTTCTTGTCCGTCCTGCTCCCCACCCTGATGTCGCTCTGAATCCTCACAATTCCATTCTGGTGGAGCATGGCGTGGCACTGCCCTATAACCCGCATCACATCGTCCCATGAGCCCTCTGTAAGGAGAAAAAATTAGCATGCGCTCCAAGCCTCGCCTCTTATTACCCCTCCATCCCATGCCATGATACCCCGCAGATAATACCACATGGACACACACACGCACACTGCTTCCCGGCCGAGAAGGATGTGTGATGCGTCGAAAAATCTTACCAAGAGTTGTGCCAGCAGAGTGCATTGAGTATTCCAGTCCGCTCTTCTTCAGGAGTCGTTGCACTTCTGCCACTTCCTTGGACACCGACGCCGTGGGGGTGCCAAGCGGGATGAGACAAAAGTCTGCCGTGCACATGGGCGGTGTCGCGAGCTTGCTCAGGTCGTCCGAAGATGCCATTGCTGCTTTGATTCGGCCGAAAAAAGGAGATGAAGTTCTAAGAGTCAGCCCAAGTGTTTGGTGTTTTTGGTGTTGCACATGTTTCAATGTTGCGCGTCATGGGGCCGCGGTACCTGGCCTGGCCCGGCCCCGAAGTTGCGGCGATAAGGGAGATACTCGAGTAGGATTAGTGTGGTAGATCGCTGCCTATCACGCCGTCGTTTCGTGATTGCAGTCGACTTCCCATACAGGTACACTACGGACGTACGTACTACACTACATATATCCAACTATGCGCTCTATTTTGACAATTCACATATGTATCCTTCCATCACAAACTCTGTGAAAACTACACACTAGCACTTCATCACCCTTGCAAGTCGGTCCAGTATCACACCCACACCCAACGGCAAGGGATACACACCTACTTGGAAAGGAGTTGAGCAAGCAACAAACCATGCGCATATGAATGGCTCCTATACACCTGCACATATACATAGTTTGCTCTCTTGTTGGCTGTCGCCTTTGTACTCATTTACACTTTACATACAACGTCCCTCGTAAAGTGGTGACGCAGTGACATACTTACTCCTCACACGCACAGACATGCGGAAGTCAGCCCGAAGCAAGGGCGACGTAACACCATGTACACACACACACACACACAGTTCGGTTGTAAACATGCGACGCGACCCTATCTTTGTCTAGATATAGCACGCTAAACTTTAATACGAAACTTCTCTATATAGTTATTCTAACTACTTTTCTAATAGTTTTTGAGTATGTTATAAGTGTGCATTATGTTAGTAGCTTATTAACAAGTGTTTCTCTTACGTTAACTAATAATAGTTTAAGTTTTATTCTATAGAAAGGGATATGTTCACGAAATAGAAAAGACTTTGTAGAAAAAAATACCAAGAAGAGAGATAGAATTGATTCAAGATTAGCTCACGATGCTATTATTCACTGGGCTTCAGCGCCTACTAGTGCCTCTTGGCAGGGCATGTTTGGGTACAGCACAAGTCAGAGTCCGGGTGGTCTGCTTTCTGACAGTCCGGATCCGAATCTTCCGGCAGGGGCATCTTGAGCGTCATCATCAACAGCACGCCGCCCACAAGAGCCCTTGGATTTGACTACAATCTTATTATCCAATTTTCCAGACAATCAGTGGTCATTGGAACATTGTTCAAAAGGCCTGAGCTGATCAAAGCTACCATCTTTTTAAAAACCATGCTGCTTACTATCATCGTCGGATTGATAGGCGTAGTGCTGCTGTACTTGGGCCCCAAGCTAAGAAGATTTAGTAACAACTACCAAGTAGCCCGTGCTACCGGGTTGCCCGTGATTCTATGCCCTTACAATCCAGATAGTGTAAGTCGCCTAACCTTCTCAATCCGTACAAGAACAAAAACACTGGGCTAATCATACCTGCAGGCAATATGGGCCTTTCTCTGTGTCCCCCTCCGCCCTGTGCTTCTTCGCATCCTCCCCGCTGCTCTATTCGCCACTGTCGAACTGAGTATCTGGTGTTGGGAATTTCGTGACAAGTATGCTATTCACGAAAGGCTTGGGCCTGTCTTTATCTATGTCACCATGGGAAACAACCGTCTCATCTGTGCCGACCCGACAATGGCTACCGACATCTTGTCTAATAGGCGAGACTTTACTCACCCGGACATTACCGTAACATCCATGGGTGTTCTGGGAGCCAACATCATGACGGCAAGCCACAAGTCTGCATACTATTCTCTGTTTGCTGGCTAACCAGTTGAAAAACAGGCAAAAGGTGACTCGTGGTCGCGCCACCGTCGTATTGTCGCTCCTGCTCTCAATGAACGCATCAGCCCACACGTATGGACAGAGGCCGCAGAACAAGCATCATCCCTTTCCGACGTTTTGTTATTATCAAACTCGACTCCTACTACCCAAGAATCCGCCAACACGCTTCACAGCCTTCACAAAGTCGCTTTGAACGTCTTGGTCCGGATTGCCTATGGTCGCAGGCAGCCTTTTTCTCTGTCTCCGCCGCCATCTAGTACTGAATCATCTGCGCAAACCAGATATATTGACGCAATTGTAACCGTCGTTGAACTTCTTGCTGCAGCTGCATTCATTCCGCGCACCTGGCTAACGCTACCTTTCATGCCACAGGCACTGAAACGACTAGGTACCGCAATGAACGAGATGCCAGATCTAGTGAAGAGTGTGCTTGATCGAGAACGTCAAGAACATCTTCTTGCACATTCGAATGTCACAGAAGCGACAGAAAATTCAAAAAAGAGTTCAACTACCATCATGACCACGCTTGTTCGCATATCGGATCAGGAGAAGGAGCAAAACAAAACTTTAGCTTCATCCAAAACTATTACCACATATCTCACAGAGGAGGAAATCGCTGGAAATCTTTTCGTCTTCACTGCCGCTGGTTATGAAACGACTGCAAACACAATGGGCTACGCCGCTACTCTTCTCGCCGTTTATCCAGAATGGCAGGCATGGATACAGGCCGAGATCGATGCTGTTTTCGAAACACAAAGCCCATCACAGACAGACTATTCGACGGTTTATCCTAAGCTAGTGCGGTGTTTAGCCGTCATGGTAAGTAACTCATAATCCCCATCATCTATCCAAACCCCATCTTTGCTGTCTACCCCACACAAAGCCAGCTGGCATGATCTCTTTCCGTAGCGAGATGGCTTTGAGCTAACGATTCAACCTCACAGTTTGAAGCGGCGCGCCTCTTCCCACCTGTAACACTCATGTTGCGGGACGCGATAACAAGCCAGACGCTAAAACTTGGCGACCGCACCTTCTCACTTGCAGGCCCATTCGGCGCATACATCAACACAATGGCCTTACACACTCTACCTTCTACATGGGGACCCGACTCCCTCGAATTCAAGCCTAGTCGCTGGCTGGACCCCAATTCGCCAGAGCCCGCCCTGATCACACCACCACACGGCACATATATGCCGTGGTCTGTTGGTCCCCGCTCATGCCCTGGAATGAAGATGTCCCAGGTGGAGTTTGTATCTGTCATGGCGACACTGTTTCGCAGATGCAACGCTCGACCTGCACGCAAAGAAGGCGAGAGTGAAGAGCAGGCGAAACAACGGTTGCGGGATCTAATGGAGGATAGCCAGAATGTGTTGACGCTGAGGATGACGAGACAAGATGAGGTGGGAATTGAGTGGGTTGAACGAAAGACTGGTTAGTAGTGGGTGGTGGAAACTGGGGTTTCAGTCTTTTCTTGTAAAGTAGATCAGCATGGGAGATGGAATACGACCGATGTTTACTCAGACACATTTTTCATCTTTACCAACCATGTTTTGCTGCTCTAATAAAAGTGTAATCTGCTGCACCGAAGTTTTCTATCAGTACATTATTATATTCAGGGCTGGCAAATGCGTATACATAGGTGAGGGCCCTACATAAGCCCACCTCAGACACTACTTCCTCCCACAGGTAGTGTGCTCCTAGTACTAGCATATATCAATCACGAAAAAAATCTATATACTTTAAGAAAATGTATAGTTATATATAGTTTTAGCGAGGTTTTTAGTATGAGAATACATGCTCAACTCTTAGTGACAGTAAGGGTTTTAGTAAGTAAGGCGAAGCTAATTTGTGCAGTCACTGTGAAAAAAACCAATAAAACAAGACCCATGTGCAATTCTGTTCGGTTCGCCTTGGATTGCCATTCGACTCAGTGTAGCCTACCCTTTGTTAGGAACCTGACTTGATAAATGTAATTTTCCATAACATAATGCACATACCTGCTAGTAGACCTTATAACTCTTAATGATCCTCGGCGGGACAATCTGATAATCGCCCCCGTTCTCCCTATAGCTAACCCTGCCTCCACACTTCTCCTTCTCATACAATTCGAAAGTATCTGCAAAGGTACTCTCCTTGAATTTAGCCCGCTTGACGGGTGAGTTCATGTCAAAATCGTATGTCACGCATCCCGAGTTGCGGGTGCCGTGAGCAGTGACGTGCTTGCCATTGTTAAGCCAGACGGTAAGCTCCCAGGCGTTTGTGGCCGTGGTAAGAAAGAGTGGGAGAAGAATGGCTGAGGTTGGAATCTTCATTTTGAAGTGTGAGGGGGAAATAAAGGCAGGAGTAGCTAGCAGCTTGAGCGGGATGTTGGATATGAGAGAATCGAGTTGAGGCGACTTGGTGGGAAGATGCAATTGAGAATTGTCTGGATGGTATTTATCTTTGAACAGAGACTCTCAATGTTGGAACGAGGACATGTCATGTGACAGTTGTGAGAAGAAAAACTACGAGTCATGGGAGCATTCGATATGTGTTAAGTTTATTGACAGCCTAATATGATCCATGGTACTTCTCCCAACTAGCTCATGTGTATAAAAAATTCTCAAGTAGATGGGACGAGATTAGAAACCCGAGAAGCCGAAGATACTTTAGAAGGTTTCTGTAGACCAAGATTGAAGCTGTACATAAGTTTACATTGAATATTGCATGTCTATACTAGACTAAGTTAGTCCTAAAACTTGTCGAAATTGAGAATTAGTAGGCTGACCACATGCCCCGCATGTAGTCAGCCTACAGTGATTAATGATTTGGGCTTCACCTGCAGCCAGCGTTCTAAAAATCCGATCATCATAAGATCGAGGACTGGTCAATCACTTCGATTGCTCTATAGCTGACGTTGTTTGAAACCGCTGCGCAGCTACGTGTAAGGGCGAAGCCATAATCGCTCATGACTGTAGCATTTCTCGATTGATCTCTTAACCGTAGTAACACTTGTACTGCGTCATGCCTTTTAATGAATCGAGATCGAGCCTGTTGATACGTACATGGAAGAGACGTCTGGAAAGCTGGGACCTAAAAAATCAGGAGACATGGCGATCATCTCTACAACTATGCAGAGCTGAAATACCCTGTACACACTAGTTATGTTTAGAAACTGCGAAGGTATACACGAAAAGACTCTCATTGACAGCTGACTAAGTATGAGTTGTAGCGGTCAGCAAAGGTAGTACCATATACTTATGATATTTCCCGAATGCGACGTACAAAACGAAGCACTTGTACTACCTTGACCATGATATATGCACTAGTAGTGTATGGAGACCTGGTAGGACATATGTTTGGACATCGGCTAGGAAGCTAAGTCTCAATTAGGCTAAGCCTCCAAGTCCTGCACGTCAGCCAACATAGCCCTTTCAACGTCTTTAAAATCAGCCACCGCGAATGCGGCACGTGAAGTTGCACAATCAATCCGAGAATACGACATTGGCGTATACACCAAGGGCAGCTTAGGTCCCAATTTTGAGCGTCGCGAGCACTTCACGAACCACTAAAGGGATTTCAAAGGTTCTCAAAATCAATACCTACACATCAACTGTAGTAGCGAAAAGGTTTGGAGGAAGCTGATATAAGAAAGCTTAAACACGCAGGATCAGCGTTCGTTGCGACGACTACAGACAATGGAAGACCAGATCGAAACGACCGGGAAAACGGCAGCACCAGACTTTGCAACCGAAGCCGCTACGCAACCGACGTGATTTGCCCCCTGCACGCGTCAAACACCTTTCCCCTCCAAGGCAGGTCTCGCACAGCGCCACCGCAAATGGACGATACAGCGGGACCCATGCGCCCGGGATATATCCAACCCGCGGCCTAAACACAAGTCGTTGACGCCAACGCCTTGGCCATGACATATCGGCCTAACGGTGCAAGCGCAGCCAATAGCGTACAGAGCAGTATGGCAGAGGTGGTTCGCTTAGAGCTTCGCGAAGTCTCGCTCATGGGAACACGGCGTATACGGTTGGTGGGTATCACCCTTCGACTAGTAACACACAGAGGATAATTATGGAAGAGGGCTAGGCGTCCCCTTCGAAGCGACCATGCGCCGCGGAAGAGTTAGTCGACTACCCACACCCGCATGGCTTAGACACCACACCAATCTGCTGCCTGGTGTCGCTTTTGTCGTTTCGCGCCCTACTTCTTCTTCTGCTGCTCTTCTTTCTCTTCTGTTTCTGTAAATACCATTTTGTCCATTTCGCCCAAGATGCGTTCCTACGCGCAAAAAGGTCTCATTGCTGCCCTTGTCCTCGCCACCCAGGTCGTTATCGTTTCTGCCGCCGAAGATAGGCCCAAGGGAAATTTCCGCCAATGTCTCGAAGTATCGCCTGAATGCCCTGTTTTCGCTACGCTCTACGGATACAGGCCGAATCTCGGTGCCAACGCTTTCCTTTGCGCTCTCTTCGCTCTTTGCTGCCTTGCTAGCATCGTCATCGGCGTCCTGAGCAAAACATGGACGTACACTCTTGCCCTGGGCATCGGAACTTTTCTCGAAGCCGCTGGATATGCCGGTCGCATCATCATGAACGGCAACCCATGGAGCGAGTCTGGTTTCAAACTCCAAATCTGCTGCCTCGTCCTCGGTCCTAGTTTCGTTGCTGCCGCCATCTACCTTACGCTCAAGCACTTCGTTCTGTACTGCGGGCCCCAATATTCACTCATCAAGCCTCGTCTTTACCCATGGATCTTTGTCGGCTGCGATTTCGGCTCCATTGTGCTTCAAGCTGTCGGTGGAGGTATGGCAGCTGCAGGTGGCACTACCAACAAGAAACTCATTGATGGTGGCAACAAGCTCATCGTGGCTGGTATTGCATTCCAGGTTGTCACCATGGTCGTGTGCGGTGTGCTCATTCTGATCTACATCTTCCGATACCGCAAGGCTCGTCAGAACCGCGGTGCACTGAACGAGAAGAGCAGCTATGAGATGGACAAGGAAGCTGGTAGTGTTTCTCTTGGAAAGGTCAAGCTTTTTGGAGGTGTCATTGTGTTGGCATACCTTACTGTGCTCATTCGCTGCATATACCGTTTGCCAGAGATGGCTGGTGGCTGGGGTAACGCGCTGATGCGCAATGAGCGCGAGTTCCTCCTACTTGATGGAATGTAAGTCACAATACTCTTACTGCAAGTTCGGAACATCTAGCTTACAATGATTAGGATGCTTGGTATCGCATGCACGGTACTCACTGCCTTCCACCCCGCATACTTCTTCCCTCCTTTCGCTGCTTTCCGCCGTAGCAAGTAATCCCCTCACTTTCGCTTCGAATCTTTAGAATTATAGAATACGATCTTTTTTAAAGATATAGCCGGATTTGCATCTTTGTGGACTCGAATAGGTCCGTCCATTCGTAATGTAGCATAGCGATAGTGGATAAGGAACAGTATTTTACCTACATGCATTCTTTCTCTTTTGATCCCTGTATTCCCACTAACACATAACTCCATCACCACTTTTCGAATTCGAAACTTACAACTCCACGTCCCAATTCAACAGAATAAACCACTGTGAACGATTTCCAGTCTGAAATACGAAGCGATACCAATGTTCGCAATCAGCAAACAGACAACCACATCATTCTACCCAACGCCATACGACAACTTGCGTGCCAACACAACGAAACCCGTATGTGAAGCAAACAGGCAACAAACGAACCCCCTCTCCCCACACCACCTCTCCAGCCCACAAATCAAAGAAAGAAAGAAAAAGAAACCTACCCACTCCCGTCTTTTCTTCATACGCAACCCATTCCACCACAATACGCACAACCATACATCCACACAGCAACCATGACATCCCCATCCACAAAAACCGGGGGCATCACTCCCATCGTAATCTCCATGGCACCAGCACCATCACCGCTCGCATCCAGCACTTCTCCCCCTCTCTCCTCCTCAGACACTATTTCCGCGACCCCAACAACGACGAATGCACCTCTCTCTTCAGCCCCGGAAACATCTTCATCATCAGTGGTACACCAGAGTAAAAGTAATACTGATGACGGGGGAGATACGGTGACTATATCTCCTCCAACTAGCATTACATCCAACTCCCCTACGTTTGAGAGTACGGTTGCATTTCCGGGACTAGATGCAACGAGTACCACCTCTGCCTCTCTCGTCTCAGTGAAGCCGTCGAAGTCGTCGGCAGGATTTAGTGGAGCGGCGGCAGCAGGGCTAGGCGTGACAATGGGGATTTTGGCGTTTTTGGTGACGGCGGGGGTGTTGTATGCTGTGTTTGGGCGAAATGTGAGGGGGTTGAGGAGGGAGGGGGTGAGGGGATAGTTTCTGCGATCACTGTTGGAAAAGGAGAGAAAATCGTTGGGTACGATGCGTGCTTTGAGAGAAAATGGGAGAGCGTAGGTTGTAGTAATACTTTTTAATGATACTAAATGAAAACGTAGCTACAAAGTCTAGGCACTCGTAGCAGTCATACCAGGCCGCGGGACATGCGTTCTCGCCCCCGCAATCTTATCGTCCAAATCAGGCAGCGAGAATCTCGGCCTACGGTATGTATACCCTACGAAAGCACCCCTCTTCCTGATCTCCAGTACCGCGCGACCAACCTCTGGATCACGAAGGAGTTTATCTCGAGGTCTCTTTTTCTCCCTTTTCCGCCTTGGTATCTTCTTGAATGAAGTACACAGCCTATCCCATGCGATTTGTTCAAAGATTCCAGGGATGAGGACCTGGGGATCGATTGTGATAGTGGGAGGATCAACGTTAGCTTTGGGTACTGCTGCAGCAAAAGGCGGTGCTGGCTCTTCAGCTACTTCCAAAAATTCGTAGCTGGAAGAGTCGAGATGATCGGATGCGCTTAGAATATCGGCCTCGTCGTCAAAGTACTTGGTGATGGGCTGTCCGCCATGAACACGAGGAACAAAAGGTGGGCGGGTCATGTGCAGCAAGGACCACTGGATGTTGCGGAAGAATGGATGCGATTTGATGTCTTCGGCATCATGGGGGAAGACGATGTGACCAGTGTTGTTGTGAATGTGTCGGTTGCTACGCATACTGAGAGACTTATCGCGGAGCACCCAGTCATTCTCACGGTATCGTCTGGCGGAAAGCCGATCCTGTCTCTCTTCGAGTAGTCTCGTTATTAGGTCGATGGCATTGCGTGAGACTGGCATAAGGGGTACGCGATCAATGTTCGGACGAGCGTAACGCTGATCGGATGGGAATCGCAGCCATCGTCTGTGATCCTACTCCGGTTAATCTTAATCCAGGACCCCATGTGATCCTACGTACAATTATTCGCGCCTTTGTAGCCTGTCTGTTTTCGCAGAAAAACGGTGTACATCCATAGAGACACTGAGCATGTTAGAGAGACGTGATGTTTTCTGAAGCAACATACCTCGTATAGTATTACGCCAATGCTCCACCAATCGCAACGCCCATCATAGTTTTCACCCCTGATGACCTCTGGAGCCATATACTGACTGGTTCCTACAACGCTCTTGGCGAACTGACGTCTTTGCTCACGGTTCAACCAATCAATAATGGGCCCATTGGCAGTCTCCTGTCGAGTTTGATAGCGGCTGCGCTTTGATCCATTGCCGTAAATATAGTCCATGTTTTTACGGGCATCTTTTCGGGTTCTCTCCTCTTCCACATCTTGTGCATCGCCCTGGACATGCATGCCCAAGTCACGTAGCAGGCTATATCGTTGTTCATTATAGTATGTCTGATTATGAGCCCAGTGGCCATCAAAGGCGAGACCGAAATCGGAAATTCTAAGATGTCCAGATGAGGTGATTAGGAAATTGTCAGGTTTGACATCGCGATGGATCCAATTCATCTTGTGTGCCTCTTCAATGCAAAGTATCATTTCCGCCAGATACCACTTGGCCACGTTCTCGTCGAGAATATCCTCGCGAAGGAGCAGTCCGAGAAAATCTCCACCCATCATATACTCCATCACAAGGTATAAGTTGTTGTTGTCTTGGAAGGCGGCAATTAGAGGCACTACCCAACGGGAGTTTTCTGAAGCAACTAAGAAATCCCTTTCTGCACGCAAATGACCTTCCTGGCTATTGCGGAGCATGTCGGATTTCCTGATAACTTTCATGGCGAACACCCGTTTTGGTCTGCGACAAGGACTAAAAGGACTTTCTTCTTTTGGTGTCAAAGATCCATCAAGATATTTCGTGCTGGAGCTGCTTCCATGGAGACTCTCGCAGTGTTCGCTCTTCTCACGAACAAGTCTGACGACTCCAAAGCTACCTTTACCTAACACCCGGATAATATCGTAGTTCGAGACGTGTACACCCTTCATGGTCTGTCGAGCTACGGTGTTCGATTTCATCACTCGTACTTGGCGCAAGTGATAGGTTTCGGAGAGATACTATTCTCGTCTATTGCATTGACGCTGCTCCTCAGAGACAGTCATGACGAGAAGTTTACGCTCCATCTGGCGACGACGCATCGACCTTGGTGTAACTTTGATAGTAAGAAGCTCATTGAAATGTGACTCGAAGAAGATCTTCGCTGCTGCCGCTTTTTCAATAGTCGCAATGGAAGGCTCACATAATCGTGGTGCGTCTTGGCGAGGGAACACCAAAAACCGAGAAGGCGAATGCTCTGCGATCGCTTCATAGGAAAGGGGAGGTGAGCTGTCGGTTACAAAGCGGCCATTATGTGTGCGAAGCGTTGTCTCAGCTGATCGTGGGCCGCCTGAAGAAACCAGAGAAGTGGGAGCAGTTGACTGTGGAGCCCCACTGCTTCCTGGACTGAAGCCACTTGATGGCAGAGAAGATATCTCGGACATGGGAGTCTTAGGTGAGATGGTAGTATGTTTGTCGCTACTGTGTCGGTTGAAGTAACTGCGTTCAACAGTAGGACGAGAACTCAATTTTGCGCGATGTACTACGGTTTCATTGTTCAGTAGGGCATTCGAAAGCTTTGTAGTCAGCTGCCTAGACAAACTTGAAGTCGATCTGCTTGTGGCTACAGGCGTAGGAGGAGGTGTGCGAGTCGGGAACACTGGTTCGGACTCGCCATCGAACGTGGCAGCATTGGCAAGTTGTAGGAGGGATGAATTTTCAGGGCCCAGGCTGAGGGGCGGGAGACTGATAGGTAGGTCGGAAATAAGAGGAATTCGCGAAGAGGATCGGGAGAAGCGTTTTCCGACTCTCGGGTGAGCCGGACTACAGGATTTGTTTGCTGTTGAGCCGTTGCTCTCCACCGTAGCCTCTGCTGAGCTCGGAGTAGAGCCTGATGGTAGAGTCAGATTTGATAACTACGAGGACACGGTATCCAAGACACTTACTCTTGCCATTACGGAAGACGGAAAAGATTCTCATGCTCCCACGCCGTAGTGTGGTGAATGTACGGCCAGCAGGAGTAGTGTTGCGCGCATGCGGACGCTTTGCAGTAGCAACAGGATGTGCTTCTACTGATCGTTCGACAACACGAACTTTCCCCTTGTCTTGCGCTTCTTTTCCAGGGTTATGGACATCTTTTCTTTTCCGCGTTGGGACAAGAGACATCATCCCGACAGTTCTGATGTCTCAATATTACCGAATGTTAGTATTGGGATGGAGTAATAATGCTGGATAAACGCTAGGGATTTCAACCAACGCCTAGTCAGGGGAGCAAGTGAAGCAACGGGAGTGGAAAGAAACGCTAGTCTGGTCTTTTGTGCCATAGAGAGAAGGCGTTGTTGACGCTGGAAACGGAAAGCGCAGTAGTGAATATGGGAAGCAGCATCAGCCCGCACATGATGGTTTGAAGCTGGGAAAGGTGGCAAATAGGGTATCAAAACAACTCAAACAACTTCTACCAAATCCATCATGTCTGCCAGAAGGGATGATCATGATTTAGCTCAACCTTAGGATAGTGCGTAATAGGAGTTTACTGGAGTGAAAGAGTGGGGCATCTCCTAGAGGGTTGTGGCATGACAGCAGAAGCACATCTTGTCATGACTCCAGCGAACAAGCACCAGTCACAGGGACACACATATCTTAGCAAAAGTGTGTGTCCCAATCTTATGCGATGCAAGTGCCAGCGCATCCCGTGACAAGATGCTGGGTTTCTAAGGGCCGCATGATCAGGAGGCTGACTATGATTCGATGGCGCGGGGTACCATCCGAGGAGATGACCAAAGTTTCGTGTTGACCGCCTTGTGTTATATTCTTCACTCCTCCCTCTCTCTCTACTGCAGCTCTTACTTCCACCACGCTCACCCCTTCGATGCTTGAGTCCTACAAGGGTTGCCATTATCGATAGCTCCAAGCATATCCGTCCTGCTCCGCCTTACTCGGTTGTGGCGCCTTATCCGTGTCTTATCCGTTATCGGCTATCGCTTATCGCGGCATCACCCCCTCGAACTTCATCACGTCACTTTCCTGTGCGACAACCTCTAAAGGTTGACTTAGCAATCCACGCCGAATCCCAGTGCGGGGTTCCTTAGGCTCCTCGGATCTCGACGCAACTATTACACAGTCGGCAGAGATCGTTCCACGGGTTTGGGGCCATTTTAGCCTCGACCTTTTATTGAGCGCTTCATCGAACATAACCAGGAACATTACCCTCTTACTACGCGCCTGCATCTCTTCTGAACACTCTTCTACACCGCCGATACTTTTCGCGCATCTGTCTAGGCCATCTTTGAGAACTTTGATCTGATTTTGCGAAAAACACTCAACAAGACTTCGTACTAACCGGGTTTCCTCCCCCTAGCACATCATGCTGAACTCACCAACAACCCCCTTTCCTCTTTACTTGTTCCCAAGCCTCAACTTCCGCCGGCGCAGCAGCTCGGCGTTCAGCGATTCTACCAGCTCGTCGTCATCGCTGTCTTCGTCCCCGCCACAGCCTACATCCTTTCTCGCCACCCAGCCGACCTCGCATCTTCGTTGTCAGAAATGTCTCGCCGATCTTATTTCTACGTCGTCAATCATAAGTAAGGGTTTTACTGGAAGACATGGTCGCGCATACCTTGTCAGTCCACCGCCGTCATCCAGCTTTCTCTCAGGTGGGAACATCGCACCAGTAGGCTTCAAGAATGGCGACTTGCCCAACACACTCACACACAAGCCTCAGTCCCGACAGCTGGTCACTGGCGTACACATTGTGTCTGATATAAGCTGTCGCAGTTGTGGTAGCGTTTTAGGATGGAAGTATGTCGACGCTGCAGAAGACAGTCAAAAGTACAAGATTGGAAAATTCATACTTGAGGCTAAAAGGACTGTGAAAGGATCAGAATGGGATCCGGCCTTGGAAGAAGAGGACAATGGCATGGTCACCGAGGCCAAGGAGACAGATATCGAATTCGATTCGCAGGACGAAGATGAATGCGAGGACCTCTTCAGTGGCATCTGGACTCCACAGCTGGCAGCACGGAGGAGGAAGCGCCGCGCATACCCCCAAGTTGATCTTTAGGTTTCTGCCGTTGTGCAGTCTTGCAGCGACCAACCACGGGTCTCAGTCATCTTTTCAAATCACTCACCACGACATACCATATACCCAAGCAGATACCCACACGAACACTATTTATGATTTATGATACCCGGGAGGACCCTAGGTTTTGGCGTAATGGTTTGTTCTTTTCACAGTCATTTTCATGCACTATGTACTTATATCGGAATGACACATGGTTTAATAACTTTGAAAATTGCCATAAATACGTCAAGATTCTTTTATGTTTTAACATTATCTAATTGTCCACCCATAATTGCAATGTGATGATTATGATCACAACTTAGCACCGACACCCTTTCCGCTTTGTACATCCTCATAGCTGACCTTCCCTACTTCAGCGATCTGGCCGTTACTCGCCTCAGGTGACCATCCAGCAATCAAGTCCTCAACAACATTGATCTCATCTTGTCCCCACACCAAGCCGCCTGCAGGCTTGAACTCTCCATTCTGTTGCCGTCTCAACACGCGGTAAGTGGGTGCACCGCAAAGTCCCAGTTCTTTGGCTTCAGCTGTCAGAGCCCGTAGTTTCTCCTTGATGGTAGGGCTATTGGCGCGCATAATGAGATCAGCACCGTTGAACCCTGCCTCGTCGAGAACCGATTGAAGTACAGACTCGTCTGCTACATGTTTGTTCTGCTCCCAACATGCCGAGTCTATCATCCCGTTAGCATCTGCTTTCCCAAACTTCCATCAACGGTGTCTTGCGCAACAGCCTCTGCAAAGGCAAAGTCGAAGACACATAGCCAAAAGAACAAATGACTTACACAAGACTTTCGTCGCCGCCGGCTCCACGATCCCCACTCTAAGCACTGTCGGCGTACGGATGGGAAACTTATCAGCCCAATAAAACTTGATCGGCCCATCCATCCCTTGAAGACCTTGCTGCTGTCCCTCCTGCACATCAACCGCATTCCACCACCTCACCCAATCCGCATGATCGCGCCTCGACCACATCGCCTTCACCTGACTAACCGCCATCATCGGCATATTCGGGGCCCCTATCTCGCGAAACAAGATACCCAGCAAGAACGGCTTGAGCACAATCTCCAGTCCAGGCCCAAACGTACGCTGTAACCGCGCAAGCTGCGTATATCCCAAAAACGCCCACGGCGACGAGAAATCAAACCAGAATTCCAGTTTAACAGCCGGCGTACTCGCAAGATGCAAATGATTCGAATGCACAACCCGAGGAAGCAGCGCCCGCAAATTCTTCACTTGGGTCCACGCATCCTGCCCTCCCTTCGCATCCTCCCCCGCCAATGACAATCCAAGCAACGTCGCCTCAACAAAATGCATACGATCCTGTCCCCAAAAAAACCTTCCCTCCCCCCCTTCTCCAGCCCCCGGAATCCAAAACCCAGGTACCCCAAACGCCCCCCTCTCAATCGCCAACCCCGTCTCTTTCTCCAACTCCCTTCTCGCCTCCAGATTAGCAAAGCAACTCGCATCAAGTCCCTGTACCCCTGCTTCCGCCGCGATCTGAAGTAAGACGGCATCGTCGTTTACATCTCTCCCTTCAACCCAGTACGCGCGGAAGAGGCGATCCGTAAGTTTCCTTCTCTTATCCTGGTCTGCGACGCAGTAAAGCATGCGCAGCGCATTTACTGTTTTGCGGGGGTGCTTGGGCGGGGGGTGGTAAGGGACTTGGTAGCGGGATAGGGTGCGTTGCATGCTTTGTCCCGTTACGGCTTTTTTGGTCGAGTTGAAGACGTCGCTTGCGCTGCCGCCGGCGCCCTGGGGCGCGGCGGTGGCGCGGTAGATGGCGCCGAGGAGGACGGGGTGGTAGATGAGTGTTGCATTTGTGCGCTGGGCGAGGGATTGCACACGGGTCGAGGCTATGTAGGCGAAGGGGCAGGAGATGTCGTAGTTGAAGATTAGGGTTGGGGGTGGGGAGACCATTGTGGGGGTGAGATGGAGATTTAGTGGAAAGGGCAAGGGCAAGGGGAGTTTAGTATAAATGTTGGATGAGCATGGGTGCGTAGTAAATGATGTACTTGTCTTGATTTAGTGTCGGTAAACGGCGTTAGGGCGTGAGGAGTAAGTACAACATTCAGGTACAGCCGAGGCTCTTTTTACAACAAGACCGCCACCGCCTTGCCCACCTTCTTGGTATGTCCTAGGTCGATTTTCATCTGCCTACTAAATTCCTATGTACAGCTTTTCGTCTACATATGCTGATACGAGCCCCACCCTTGTTCATTCAGTCTATGCATACTGGAAATTGGTCCTGCAAAGTGGACAACTAGGGCCGTCGCTGCTCTTGAACCACTTGAACAAACAAACACCGTGGAACAGGTTCTTGCAGGTCGCGCACTTCTTGTCTGGCAGCTTCCTGTCTGAGCCGACAATGCTGTAACAAATTGCACACTCGCTCTGTCCCTTGAGTGCTCCGTCCACGTTCCTCTTGAAAGTGGTTAGCGCATCAATCAGAGAGCCATTAAAGATTGTAATGGCACCCAGGGAAGTCCGTAGCCAGGATTGCCATTTGGTTTCGTTTACAGCGACACGGTTGAGACCTTCAATGTGAGCGTTTGCTAGCGGGAAAGCAGCAGGTAGGGATATGCGCATCGCCATTGTCTGCTCATCGACGATGTAAGACGCAGTAATCTCACGAGCACGAGAGACAACCTTGACGGTGAAGGGGGAGTCAGGCTCAGCTGCAGCTTGTTCTTCAGACCATTTCGCTACTGCATCGAGGGAAGCGACGATTACGGGTTGAGAGACATATCTCTCTGTCCAGGGCTCAAGTGAGACTACAATCGCACGCGACTTGCAGTTTTTGAACCAAGATTTTGTAAGCGAAGGAACGTCGCGTAGGCATAAGAAGTAGAGATGTGTCAAGAGCCATTGGAGATCCCTTTTTGGAGGCTCGACATCCGCTTCATATGTTGTGATATCTAGCTTCGAAACGTCAACGGGTCTGTTGTTTGCGTGTCCGAGGAATTCAAATGTGAAGTCCAGTAGGCCGGGCAGGTAATCGCCTTCACGAATGTGCTCAACGTAGTCGTTCTTGACCTTGAAAGAAGCATGTTCAAGATGATCAAAGACCAATCTCCAGCTAAGCAGATAACCACGCAGTGATAATGGCACGCTTCTTTCAAAGTTTGTATCAGCCAATGATGCGGCTGTAGGGGCATCAATAACGAGAGATAGAAGCTCTTCTGGCAGACGCGCAGTAGACTTCTCCAGTGCTGCATCAATGGAGATCTGCTCTTGAACTGCAGGGATTTGCTTGTGCAGAATGTCGAACGCAGTCTGCTGAACGGGCTGCGACTGCACATACAACAGCGGAAACAGCTCTTCAGTTGATTCGAGATTCTTAAGCGACACCTTGGATATCTGACGCGCTAGGACATCATTCACCATCTTGAGAGGCTGATGGAACTCGTCAGGGAAGTGCTGGGAGTGCTTCAAGATGTTGATTAGTCCATCAGCAACAGGCTGCTCTGCCTCTTTCCAGGCATCTAGAAGATCATCATTCGGCTCTTCCGCATTAACCAAGGTGCGAAGTTGGGCGTATAGTTTGAGCGATGCATGTACGAGGGGGATCGGGCTATCCATGCCAGACTCATTCGTTTCCAATTCGGTTGTTGCCGACCAGATAGTAGATAGCGCATTAAGGATGTTTCCCCAATGATCGCCGTACCGTTCGCTTGTCACTGGAAGAAGTACTAAAAGTGAACGACACAATTCTGCCTTGACAGCTCGTGCGACTTGGCCTTCTTGAAGCCACGAGACTACGTGATTGACAAAGAGAAGCACGCGGTGTTTGGCGCTCTCTTCCGCAAAATTGTCCTGGCTTAGTATACTGTTCAGCTGTACGAGATTCTGCAGTGCTTCTGACGATTTAGCCTCGATGTCCAAACCTGTGAGGTCGGCCAGGATTTCGCTGGACATCCTTTGGCAAGATTTGGAAGCCGATAACGGCTCTTTGAACCCATTCAATAGTCCTAGTAACTGAAATAGGTTTTTGGATTTTCTCGTCGTCTTGAGCAACTCCTGCATTGGAGCAGTCTGGGAGTTTTTCCACCCAGCAATCTCAATTGCTTCCGCAATTAGTACGCTGTATGTCCGCGCATGGTAGTACGTGGGAGCATTTGTGTCAGCACTGACATTCGACAAGATGCTACTAGCCCATGTCATGAGTGATTCAGCGCTGCTGTCCGACCAGGTAGCGACTATCGTCCGTAGTTCCTGCGTTACGAACGACTGCGCATCTGAAACGAACGTCATAGCATCAGACTCGACATCCAGATCATAGTGTGCCCAGAAACCATTTGCGCCTGCAAGACCAAGATTGTCATCGGCAAGCTGCACGGCGAGGGCGATGTTGTGAAGATAGGCAGCCTTTAGCTCAGATGGGACTATGCTGATCGAGAAGAGATCAGGGTTCTTGAACAATCGGGTCACATATTGACTTATTCTGTACGCGACCGAATATCCGTCAACATCCCGTGTCATGTTGATAATCTTGGATGGCGATTGATCTGATTTTACTAGGTAGACAGCACCTCCAAGAGGGTTTGTGATGGCTAGCGAGGTCTTGGGTGCGGCATTGAGAAACGGTTCGAGCGCCGAGTTCCAGTCATCGATGATAGGGAAAACTTTGGAAACCTGATCCCAGTCGCCGCCTGCTTTGACGGATTGCTTCGCCAGATCCACCAAGGTCTCAACCGAGACTGACGTTGATGTAGCATCTCGCAGACCCTGCTGAATGAGGTCATATATCGATTGCTTAGAATCAGTGCCTGATGAGAGTATGGTCTGGATCGATGCATTGACAGCCTTGGCATCTTGCGCTACTTCGTCGTTTGGTGATTCGGATGCGAGAAGTAAAGCTTGAAGAAGACTGGAGCCTTGTGACTGAGCGAGGAATTCGCGGAGTATCGAGGGTTTGGACTTGACGATCTGACGTAAACCTTGCAATGAGTAAGGAGCCTGCTGTGATATTGAGAGTGTTTCTGTCATGTGAGCAAGAACACTATCTGTTGTCTGAGGAGATAGTATCTTCGCTGGCGATTGAATCATGCGATTGAATGATTCCCACTCCCCTAAGCCTTCTATAGCTTCACGGCCGTTGGCAACTATATGTTCTTGCAACTCCGGATCTGAAGTTGCGAGATCGAAGTCCGACGGTATCCTGGATGAGGTAAGAATTCCCTCAAGGGCCTTATTCCGGATTGTTGGGTCTACCTCCTTGAGAATAGCTCTTAGGCATGCACTCCATGCATCGTTGAAAATTGTGCTATCAGATCTCGAGTACAAGAGGTCTATTAGATAGGAAGACGAGGGTGACAGGACAAGCGCTGGTAGGTCTTTCTGTATGAACTGTTCAAGGTCCTGTTCTGTTTGAGACGAGGAGATCAATGTGGAGTTGCGCTTCAATACTGCAGCAATAGCAGCCGCTGCGCCATATGGCTTCCCATTCCTATTTCTGAGAACTTCGAGGGCTTCCGCTACAATCGATGTACAGGCTTGTACGATAACGGGCCGCAGTGCCGCTAAACTTTCTATCTTGAGCGCTTGGTCTTGCAGGGTCGAGAACCGTGTCGCTTGTTGGCTAACACCTGTTTGCGACTTTTCATAATCCTTTGACTGTTCTGGAGCTGAGGTTTTAATGCTGTCAATGAGTCGCTGTGAAAACTCAGTCCATCGCTCGCCGAGGACTATAGCCATTCCTTCGATCCCAAGAGCTTTTGATAACAACCCTGTCGCATTTGATGGTATAGCCCAGTGTGAGGTCTCCAATGTTGGATGCAGGTACTGCATGATTATAGGCAGGACCATCTCTTTTAATAGCTTTGTCCGGTCAGACTCTTCCAATCGCTGACTCAAAAGACTAGTTATCTCTAGGTAAGCATCGAATGCGGCTTCATGGGTGTACTTGGGCTCATCCTTGCGCACAATACCACCGTGCAGGGAACTTAACAAATCCGCAGCGTCAGTATCGTGTTGTGGCAGAACCTCTTTTGGAATAACTTTGAACAGCTCAGCCAATCGAGACCAAAAGTCGCGCGGTCCGAACTGAGACCCTTTCTTCAAGAACTGCCGTAGTCGTCTGTCGAGGCCTGTTTTGCTTTTGTAATCCGTCGTCCACACTGTGGGATGTTTGGTGGTGAGAAGGGTCAAAGTCTCAACATAATCGCTGACAGAACCAGTCTGGTCAGAGTTCAGTGCTTCGGCCAGGTACGCTTTGCTGACAATGGCTAGATTCTGCTCAATAGCGGCTGTGAATTTGTTAGCGTGTCTTTCAAATTTTTTTTGCTTTAGAAAACACGAACCATCTTCTTTTGCCAAGCATGTTTTCAGTAGTCGATGTACTGATCGCCGGATTCCAGCATCTCTGTAAGAAGAAAAGTCCCATAACTTCTTATCGCCAAAGAGGCTATCGTAGTCGGCCTGATACTTAGAGAGCTCCTCAGGTTGTAGATTGGCTACCAAGCTACCCAGCAAAGACACACATGCCGAGATGACACGGCTGTACTTTGCTTCAGCGTCATCCTTAGTTACTGTCCTCTCATCGCTGAGGGTTGTAGGACTCTCTTTATCAATGGCATCGCGACAGTACTCCAATATGGGTTGTTGGTAGATCTTCCGAATACTTTGTAGTTTCTCGGCTGTGTTGAAGACTTGTCGTAGAGAGGTTTGTGTTGCTTCGACCACTGATCGATCGCTGTCATAGAGACCACAGAGCCATGCTGAGACGCTCTTAGGCATGTATTTCGCTATGCGCTTGCCGGCAGATACGGCAAAGTGACCGTGGAGTAGATGGGCGTTCTGGCGAACGGCTTTCGCGTTGTCAATCGAGGTTCGCGGATACATCTTGACCCATGCCTCAAGCAAGCCTTCCTCCACCGGGCTGTCAAGTGATGTGACATATGCCTGTATATCCTCCAGTGCCTTTGCCTTTGTTGTGCTATCTCTTTTGGAGAGGTTTCTCAGGTAGACTACGACGTTCGGGTCGGAGATGGCAGAGACGTCTGGAGGCTCTGATACGTATGACAGCTGCGACGAACTTGCGCCAAATGCTGGTGATGCACTCCCGAATGCACCGAATCCGGCTGTATTGGCAGCGCGGGCACTGCTTGCCTGGGCTTTTGCTGTGCGCTTCGACATGGTGGGGTTCGTGTGACAAAACTCCAAGGCTACCTCGAAGATGTTTGTGTAATATGGGCGCCCAGTGTGTAGAGGCAGAGGACGCAGCAGAACAGGCCGCAGTTATTGAAGGAAAAACTTAAAGAAACCCAACTGTCGCATGTCGTGACAACGGCAGGAGAGCAGCTGTGAAATGTCGAAATAGTGCGGCTCTGCCTGATGACGGCACCAACTGTGGGTAGGCGGACGACGGTGGGGCAATCTGGGCATATCCCTGTAACACGCTAAAGCCGATCTGTGTCTAGCGGATTTCACTGACATGGAACTTCGTCTGGAGGCAACGCCCAAGCTCGATTGATCTTTCTTCCCTTGTTTACTCTACACTCATCCGCCACGACGGCACTCTGCGCGGGTGGTGATCTGTTACCATGAAGTTCTACATCGACAGCCTTCCCGTGCTGTTCCCGTACCCTCGGGTATATCCTGAGCAATATGCTTACATGTGCGATCTCAAGCGTACCTTGGACCAGGGCGGTCATTGCGTCCTCGAGATGCCTTCAGGCACGGGTAAAACCGTGTCATTGCTCTCACTCATCATTGCGTACCAGCAACACTATCCTGAAAAACGGAAGCTGATTTACTGCTCGCGTACCATGTCTGAGATTGAGAAGGCTTTGGCCGAGTTGAAGGCGTTGATGAAGTATCGAACCACCGAGCTAGGCTATGAGGAGGAATTTCGAGGTCTGGGATTGACAAGTCGAAAGAACCTTTGTCTACATCCCTCAGTCAAGCGAGAAAAGAGTGGGACGGTAGTAGATGCGCGATGTCGCAGCTTGACGGCAGGTTTCGTCAAGGAGAAGAAAGAACGAGGCGAGGATGTTGAGCTCTGCGTCTATCACGAGAATCTCGATCTGTTAGAGCCACACAACCTCATCCCGCCTGGCGTATGGACCTTTGATGGCATACTGAAGTATGGTGAACAGCAAAAGCAATGTCCTTACTTTACCGCACGGCGAATGATGCCATACTGCAACGTCATCATCTACTCGTATCATTACCTGTTAGACCCAAAGATTGCAGATCGAGTATCGAAGGAGTTATCAAAAGATTGCATAGTGGTCTTTGATGAAGCTCACAACATCGACAATGTATGCATCGAATCCCTCAGCATCGACCTGACAGAAGACGTGTTACGGAAAGCAACCAAAGGCGTCAATAACCTTGACCGAAAGATTACAGAGATGAAGAGCAGTGACGCAGAGAAGCTACAAAATGAATACGCCAAACTAGTCGAAGGCCTCCGTGCTGCTGACGAGGCGCGTAACGAGGAGGCCTTCATGGCAAACCCTGCCCTTCCAGACGATCTCCTTACAGAAGCCGTACCCGGTAACATACGGCGAGCCGAGCATTTCGTCGCATTTCTCAAGCGCTTCATCGAATACCTCAAAACTCGAATGAAGGTTCTTAACGTTGTTGCGGATACCCCACCAGAATTCTTGAAGCATCTTAAGGACTTGACATTTATCGAACGAAAACCGCTGCGATTCTGCGCTGAGCGTCTGACCTCACTCGTCCGTACACTCGAACTTACAAATATCGAGGACTACCAACCCCTTCAAGAAGTTGCTACCTTCGCCACACTGGTAGCAACCTATGAAACTGGCTTCCTACTGATTATCGAACCCTTTGAATCAGCGACAGCCACCGTACCGAATCCCGTCTTACATCTGACATGTCTGGACGCTGCAATAGCTATCAAGCCCGTTTTCGAGCGCTTCTACTCCGTCATCGTTACCTCCGGAACAATGTCACCCCTGGACATGTACCCACGCATGCTCAATTTTAATACCGTTGTACAAGAGTCTTTCACTATGACCCTGACACGAAAATCTTTCCTTCCCATGATTGTCGATCGTGGAAACGATCAGAATCAAGTCACATCACAGTTTGAGCACCGAAACGACTTGCAAGTGCAGCGAAATTTTGGCAACCTGCTTATTGAATTTTGCAAATTGACTCCTGATGGAGTCGTCGTCTTCTTCCCATCCTATCTCTACATGGAAAGCATCATCTCAGCATGGCAAGGCATGGAAATCCTCGACACAGTCTGGAAATACAAACTCATTCTCGTCGAAACGCCCGACGCCCAAGAAACCGCCCTCGCACTCGAAACCTTCCGCACAGCCTGCAACAACGGTCGTGGTGCCGTTCTCCTCTGCGTCGCCCGAGGCAAAGTGAGCGAGGGTATCGATTTTGACCACCACTACGGCCGCACTGTGCTCTGTATGGGTGTACCATACCAATACACCGAGTCTAGAATCCTCAAAGCGCGATTGGAGTTCCTCCGTGAAACCTATCGCATCAAGGAAGCAGATTTCCTCTCCTTCGACGCCATGCGCCACGCTGCCCAGTGCCTTGGCCGCGTCATCCGCGGCAAAGATGACTACGGAATCATGGTGCTAGCAGATAAACGCTTCAATAAGAAACAAACGCAACTTCCCAAATGGATTCAACAGGGCCTCGACGCCAAAAATACGAAACTCTCCATTGACCAGGCTGTGGGTATGGCCAAGAATTTCCTGAAAGAAATGAGTGTGCCGTGGAGTAGGGCTGAGCAAGAAGGTCATTCGTCGTGGAGTCTGGAGGATCTCGAGGCGCATCAGAGGAAGAAGGCGGCGCATGGGATTAGTGGGACTGATAACCCGGCTATGCGGGCGTTGGAGGGGCGCGCTGAAGTGGAGCGCATGGATGTTGACGGTGAGGAAGGGGATGAGTACGGAGGCAGAGCCGATGTTGATGCTGAGATGGCGGGATTGGCTGATGGATAGAAGTTTCAGGATTTCAGGCCACATAACAAAGCATATTTGGTATCATATCTGGGCGCTTGGTGAGGATTTAGGGGTTGGATATCGCCATTCAGAATGTATTTCATCTTCGCACCACTGATTTAATGCAAGTAATTAGAATAAGAATCAGCATCGGGAAGTATACATCAGACTACTGGTATCAGTTCACGAAAGAGCAGGTGCAGCAAGACATTAGAACGAAAGATAAAGGTTGCATTGAATCGACTGACTATCCACGAATGAGCGCCTTGCTAGGATATATGAACACGAAAAGGAATGTAATCCGTATACCAAAGCTTGTCCACGCCCAAACTCCACGCTAGACTACCATCTGAGAGAAGAACAACTCCAAACACGACCATTTTGTAGCGAGTGACGGATGACTTTTGATCTCCATAGCTTCATGCACGCGTTCATACTTCCATGTCCATAAACAACCACTTGTCACTAGTCAATTTTTCGCCCTGGCTGAAATCGTCAAGAGTTGTCAGCCCAAATCCGATCCAGCCCAGGTCCTTTGTCAGGTTATTGCGAGCTACTTGATCGCTGTGTCGGTCGATACAAAGGACGAGGCGGCTACACGAGAAGTAATCGATTTCGCAGAGCTCGAGTAGGGCCATGAGCCTGTTTCATGTTAGTCCTGGTATAAGTGACACGAGAGCATTGAGGAATGTCTTACCCAGCCTTGAGGTCTGCACCAATCACAGCTTCATCAAAGAAGACAAACATGCTCCTCTCCTCTTCCCTTTCAACAACAAATCCACGGAACATAACTCCACCGACATAATCCCACATCTCAATGTAGTTTGTAATCGCACCCTTGTTCTCCTCAAACCGTACCATTTCAGGTATATCAGAGTCAGTCGAGGAGTCAGAGTAGCGACGCACGTCGATGCCGTAGTCATTTGTGATCGCGGTATTTGCAGGCGTATCAATATAAGACATACCCATCACTAGCGAGTCCTGTCGATGCTGGCTCCCCTCACCTAGGAAAACAGATCGCAGTGTCTCGCAGAAGAGTCTCTCACACTCTTCCGTGATAGTATATGCTGCCCCCCCTCTGCGCGCCTTACCGTTCTTAGCGGTAGTTGCATGTCTGGCGGCGAGGGGGGGACTTGATGGAGGTGATGGTATTCCCTGGTTAACACTTAGTATCTGGTACATAACATATGAAACGGCGCATGGACAGTGACATACCGAGCTGACCTCAGGAACACCACCCGGCCCCGGCAGACGGGGTAGTGGAGTAATGGAAGCCTTGAAGGCTGGCGGTGGACGCGTCTACGGCATAGCAGCTAGAGCGGACATTGCTAGCGGACGAGTACGAGTGAATGCTACTACTACTACTCATACTACTACTGTTTCGTTTTGACATCGCCATTGCTACAATATTGCCACGGTGGATGCGTGAGAGAGTAAGAGTCTTAGGAACGGGAATGCGCGTACAGGGTCGCTAGTTGAGAGACTGTGGAGGTGCTAGAGGCGTTGTTCGGTGTAACGGAGAGCTGAGTGCTGATGTATATGGTAAGAAGAGGCAAAGACGGAAGACGGAAGATGAAAGAGGAGTTGGGCTCTAGCGGAGTGGGGTCTCTTGGCTCGTGCGTGAGGATGGCCATGTGACTGGCCAGGATTGAGCACTAGAAACTTCGCCAATCTTGGCCCAAACCTCGGCCAACAGACAGAGCACTTCGAAGAACTTGGTTCTGCACTATGAAGAGCACCAAGATTTGGAGATCCTGTGAAAAAAGGAAAACAAATTTCAGACCACCCTTTGGCCCGTGATCATCACATTCAATGAGACCATGCGAAATCTGGTGGGACCTAAATTTGAATATCATATATTATTACGCACTCGTGCTAGCGCCCACATGAAACACCATTAACTTTTGGAAATAGCTTCCTCAGCGAATTTCTACTCTTTTGGCAACATCGCCTCGCTATATCTCGTACAGATGGCTCATGAAAAGAAACATTGGCGAAGAGGACTGAGAGATCCTTCCTCCTTGCACAAATCTATCGAAGCAGCCCGGACTATGCAAGTCGGATATCTCAGACGATGCGCTATGCATACGGAAATCAGACATAATAGGAAATAGGAAAGATACGCCAACAGACGCAGGCTGGCGGAGTCCTGCATACGAGTGGAGTCGGATCCTGCAATTTGACAGGAGCCAAGTGGACCCTGTTGCGCATAGGCGGACAAATGAAGGAAGTTGATGATTTAGCTGACAGAGATACACTTGATGTCGAAGATCAAGTCAGAGTTGGGTGGGATGTCCGGAGGAGCACCCTTCTTTCCGTATGCCATCGCAGCAGGGATAGTGAGACGACGCTCGCCGCCGGGGGTCATACCAGCGACACCAACGTCCCAGCCCTTGATGACTTGGCCGACGCCGAGCTTGAAAGAGAAAGGCTTGCCCTTCTTGTTGGCTATACGAGTATTAGTATACGTTCGGTAGAACAGACTTTGGTAAGTACTTACAGTCAAAAACCTTGCCGTTCTTCAGCTTGCCAATGTAGCGCATCTCGACACGGTCACCCTTCTTGGCGGCCTTGCCCTTGCCCTCCTTCTTGTCATCAACAATGACGCCGCTGACATTGCGAGGGCCCTTGGTAGCCTCCTTCTTTGCCTCTGGCTTGGGTGCGTCGACCTTTGGGGAGCCAGTTGGGCCCTGCTCGAGGTTCTTAGCGAACTGAACCTTCTTCTTGTCGCTGCTTGGGGTGTCGTTCTTCTCAACCTTTTCAGCCTTCTTCTCTGGCTCAGCAGCGCTAGCGACAGCTTGGCCATCGTTCTTCTTCAGCTTCTTAGCCTGCTTCTTGCTGAGCTTAGCGTCGCCGTTAGTCTTGCTGATCATGTCATCAAGGCTGGCCTCCTCCTCAGCAGCACGCTTCTTGCTCTTCTTGCTAGCTTCAACAAGCTTGGGAACCTCCTCCTCCTCATCACTGTCAACCTCAGTGATTCTGGGGTCGCTCATGCCATCGAGCTCGTCGTCCTCTGATTCGTCCATACCATCGAGCTCATCCTCATCGGGAGACAGATCGTAGCCGAGCTCGTCAAGACCGTCATCTTCCTCATCCTCGCTGTCCTCGTCTTCAGGGAACGCAACATAGTTACCGGTGACGTAGACGTCGTGCGTGCCGGTGACACAAAGGTAGACCTCCTCGCCCTGGCGGACAGTGATGTCGAGAGGTTGCTGGTAGTGCTACATGAAAGTTAGTGGGGCGCTTAGCAGACTCTGCAATGAGCAATCGTACCTTCTCAGGGTCAAGTGTGCAGAGAACAAGCTCTTCAGGCTCATCCTCATCGTCGTCGTCTTCGTCATCTTCGTCATCCTCGTCGCTCAGATCATCGTCGGTAACCTTGGCCTTGCCCTTGGCCTTACCCTTAGCACCGTTGGTCAAGCCGTCAATGTCCATGTCATCGGCCTCAAGCTCTTCTTGCATCTTCTTGGTAAGAGCAGCTTGCTTGGCCTTCTTTGACTTGGCTGGGTCGCTAGGACCGCCGTTCTTCTCATCCTCGCTGTCGTCATCGGAAAGGTCCGAGTCAGCCTCGGGAAGCGCACCAGCTGCACGCAGACGAGCAGCGATTGCCTCAATGTCACCCTCCTCATAGTCCTCATCATCATCATCTTCCATGTCAAAGTCATCAGGGATACGGATGAGCTTCAAGGTTGCGCGAGCATGCTTTTGGTCCTCATCAAACTGTGGCTCAGCATCTGGATCGATGGCAGCCATCGTAATTCTGAACTAGGCTCAGTTAGCGAAAAGTTGCGAATGCGACGGCTTCGCGCAAAGATGAACAGAATTGATGCAGCGCAAATGCGCTGACTATGAAATGCGAACAACACATAGAGTATACTTACAGTGGTGGACTGGTCAACAGCAGCCAGAATGGGAATGCCTCCAGCCGGAATGCGACGTCCGTAGACGCCAACAGGAATAGCAGACGCCATCTTGAAGATTGTCGTGAATGTATGTGGGAGAGAGCTGGCTAAAGTATCAAGGTTTATCCAGTCGAAGAAGCGCTCTTTGCTCAGAGATTTGCACAGCTCGAGGACAGCTGGTAGAGCAGGATGATAGCGAAAAAAACGAGGAACTCGAGAACGGCGGGCTCGAGAGGTAGAAAAAGTTCGCCAAGCCCTGCAGCTTTCTGTTAGCGTCCTTTCACCGCCGGCAGAACGCTCCACTTCGCCCCACTAGCGCGACTGGATCGCGGTCAAACGCGCCACTCTACGCGCATTCGCCTTTGACCAGCCCACCAGCACCAACCTCGACATCGACATCGACATGCAGCAGTCCGGTTGGTCTCGTGACATTTCATCATGACCCCGGCCCCCATGAACGCCCTAGACCCACCAAATACTTATCACCATGGGCTCCCGTCTAGACAAGAATGCAGAGTCGGTTCGCAAGCGCATTGCCAGCCATCGCTTTGACGACGAAGATGGCGAAGAGTACGGAGGCTCGGCGTTTGGTGGATTTCCCGACTACTTTAGGCGAAAGAAGATCAAACTACAGAACCTGGATGCCGATATTCGATCTCAGGCAGGCGATAAACCGCAGATCTTCAAGGGAATCGTCGCACACGTAAACGGCTACACTCAACCCTCGCTTAACGATCTGCATACGCTCATAGTGCAGCATGGCGGAGGCTTCATGCAATACTTGGACGGAAAGACTACTGTAACGCATATCATAGCCAGCAGTCTTACTCCAAAGAAGGCTGTTGAGTTCAAGAGATATCGTGTTGTAAAGCCGGCATGGGTGGTGGGCAGCATAAGAGCGGGCAAACTGCTGCCATGGAATGAGTACCGCGTAGTGGACGAGGGCGAAAAACAAAACGTATTGGCATTCGATAGGGGTAACATCATCACACATTCAAACATCAAGAAGAGGGGGTATCGAGACCAGACAGACACCAGCTGGTACACGAGCAAGCTGCAAGGTAGCCAATCTGGGCCATCCAGTACACCGACGCCCTCCAGTCCTAGGCGCCCGCGCTTCTCAAAATCAAAGCAACGACACCCGACGCCTGACGATGACATAGAGGATCTTCCGCCTTCCTGTCAACCTCAAGGTCTACTTAAACCGCCCGATCTAGGACAGTCAAGTAAGGCTGCAAAGCTGATTACACCACCTAAAACCAGCTCTCCGCTACTACCTGTTGACTTTGAAGATATACACAGTGATGTGCACTACAGTCTCTACGCAGAACCCAGCCCTCCCAGGGCTCCGCACTTGCCGCTCAATGGCCAAGTCGAGGAAAGGGCGAAAGGGGTCGCGTCTGAACTTGATCCTCCAGTGCCTAAAAACAGGCCACTTACTGCTGAAGAGCACAATGCGATCCTTCTCCGTGATCCAAACATTCGGCGGTCCACTGTTGTGGACCCAAATTTTCTTGAGCAGTATTACAGAGAGTCACGCTTACACCATTTGTCTACTTGGAAGGCTGATCTCAAGTCTCAACTACAGGCGCTTGCGAACGAGAGCACATCCTCTCAGAGAGCTAAGCAGAAGCGTGTGCCTGGTGTTCGGCGATACATCTTACATGTTGATTTTGACAGTTTCTTCGCTGCTGTCAGTTTGAAGAAACATCCGCAATTCAAAGACAAGCCGGCCGTCGTTGCGCACGGACAAGGTAGTGGCTCGGAAATCGCAAGTTGCAACTACCCTGCTCGCACATTCGGTATCAAAAACGGAATGTGGATGAAGCGAGCACAAGAACTCTGTCCGGACCTCAAGATTTTGCCTTATGATTTTCCAGCTTATGAAGAGACAAGCCGTGCATTCTATGACACTATCCTTGCCACTGGTGGCATCGTCCAAAGTGTCAGTATTGACGAAGCCCTCATTGATGTCTCAAATCTATGCATAGCTGTTGGTGGCAGTGATGGCAAAAGTCACTCGGAGATCAGCATTTACCGTGAGCAGGCGAAGGCCGATGAAATCGCACTGAATTTGCGAGATGAAGTAAGATCTAGGACAGGATGTAATGTTTCGGTCGGTATCGGTAGCAACATTCTACTTGCCAAGCTGGCTTTACGCAAAGCGAAACCTGCTGGCCAACATCAGATTAAACCCGAGGAGGTGCTAGACTTCATTGGCCAACTCCAAGTGCAGGATTTGCCCGGTGTTGCCGGGTCAATTGGCGGTAAACTGGAGTCTGCTGGGGTCAAACTTGTCAAAGATGTTCGAAGGCTTAACAAGGAAAGACTCATTCAAATACTTGGACCCAAAACCGGCGAGAAGCTATACGAATACTCCAGGGGTGTTGATCGTCAAGAAGTCGGCGAACAAGTCATTCGCAAATCTGTGTCTGCGGAGGTGAATTGGGGTGTTCGATTTGAAAATCAAGAGCAAGCCGATGAGTTCATTGCCAGCCTGTGTGGTGAGCTCCAGAGACGACTCCTGAAAGAGAGGGTAAAAGGCAAACAATTCACAATGAAGGTTATGCGACGCTCACCAGATGCGCCTCTGGATCCACCAAAGCATCTTGGGCATGGCAAGTGCGACACGCACAGCAAGAGTCTTCTGCTTGGCGTTGCGACCAATGCAAAGGAAGCCCTGACAAAGGAAGCTTTGGCTATGCTACGAGGCTTTGGGTTTACTCCAGGAGAGCTTCGCGGCATCGGAATACAAATGACAAAGCTTGAGCTCATGAAATCGGCTACGGATGGAAGTATTGAGGGCTCACAACCAAAGCTACAATTCAAAGTCGGGAATGCCAAGCCAGCGCGGGCAGCACAGGCACTGCAAGTGGTCGAAGATGATCCGATTCAAGATGACCCAGAGACTCCACGAAAATCCAAGATATCATCAGGAGATGAGCATGTTGCATTTGGTGCCGAACAGCTTAATGCCTCGACGCCTTCTCGACGCCCACTCAATACACTGGGCACGCAGTTCATCATGCCTTCGCAAGTCGATCCGAAGGTACTCAATGAGCTACCGGAGGATATACGAACTAAGCTCTTACGCCAAGCTCGACAATCGTCTCCTACGTCTGCAAACAATGCATTGGCATACGACACGCCAAGCACACCTTCGAAAGCCTTACCTCTCGCTTTGACAACGCTTCCTAACCAGTCTCAGCTTGACCCAGAGATTCTCGCTGCTTTACCTGCAGAAGTCCGTGCCGAGGTTCTTGCTCAGTATGCCAGCAATGAAACACCATTTTCTCCTTCATGGAGGCCAAGAGGGCCTGATCAAACCATTCTACCTCAGTCACCTCGCAAAAATAGGATCATCGGAATTCCAGCGAACAAGCCTATTGTACCAGTAAAACGAGGGAGAGGTCGCCCACCAAAATCAGCAATGCTGGCTGCAGCTGCACAGGCAAAAGCCATTGACAAAACTGGCAAGATGCTCACCCAAGCCAACTTTATATCTCTCAAGAATCCAGCCCGAGAAAGCCCAAGCAGAGAGGGTTCAGCTGGTTTGAGCGATAACGCCTTTGAGGTACCTACCACCAAACTCGACAAACAAGACGACCTTGATCCTGATTTTCTTGCTGCGCTTCCCGAAGACATGCGCAAAGAAGTCATTGACCAGCACAACGCAGCAAAACTAAACGCATTCCGCTTCGTGATGTCTAAGAAAACCAAAGCCCCATCGGTCCCCAAACAGCCCAGGCCAGCCCCGAAAATCAAAGTCCCACGTCCCCCAACAGCAACTTTCACCACACAGAAGCTCTCCGCGGAACCCGACCTCCGTAGCGCAATGAGGCTCTGGATCAGCGAATTTGACGAGGAGGGGCCCTACGAGGAAGACGTTACAGCGTTGATCAAGTACCTCAAGAAAGTCGTGCTGGAAGAGCGTGACATGAACAAAGCAGTTGGTCTTGTCAAATGGGTTGGTTACGTTATCAGTGATAATATAGAGACAAAGGAGGCTTTCGCACGCGAGTCGTGGAAGAAATGTATCACTACTATTAAAGATGGCGTGAGGAGAGTGTGTAAGGAGAAGGGGTTAGGGAGAGTGTGTTTTGAGTAGTTATGTGATATGAGCTTCTTCTTTAATGACTTTATGCTTTGGCGTAGTATAGATGGAAGGGCGCATGGTAATGCTGTGGTTATGAATATCCGACTGATTTTTTTTGTGCCCATTCGTTAACCATGTAGCTATTTGTATTCGATCTGAGTGATGACCGTAGTGTATGAATCTCAGTTTAATCTCTACGGAAGGAATTCCGATAAGAGTCGGTCCGAGAGAGATTATGGAAAAAGTTTTCACTGAGGAGTCAACGGTACGAGTAATGATGGTTTGTCCTGATCTTGAAGCGTGGTCAAGTGTTTGAGTTGTAATCACGGAAGCATGCTCATTTTAGAAGGTAGCAGGTCAGTGGTTGTTAAAGCGGCAGGGTACTATTGCTGGAGTAAAATCATATCTACGTGCATGTCTCTCGGAAAAAGAATACTTTCAGTATTCGTTCCATAAATCTCCAGAACCAAATCGTATTACCATTCCAGTGTTCATATCCTGCGATTGCATCTATTGAACAATTCGCAACATCCAGCTTCACATAGCCATCCCGAGCCTTCCATCGACTCCCTCCCTATCAGCGACTGTAGCACACGCAGCTGCACGAGTTCAGGACAGGGCCATTGTAGTTTGCTTCGAGATACCAGTCATCTGGACTGCTCACTGTGCCTGCTCGGTGACATGCCGTCTGACAGACGTTCAAGCCGCATATTTCCAGCGTGCAAGGAGAGTTTGCATTGGATTGTGTGACACCGCTATTGGTCAAGCAGCCATCGAAAGAGGCAGTGAGAGCAGTGATGACGTTGACTGAAGCGGCAAGGAGGAAGGCGGTCGTAAATTTCATGTTGGGCGGATTGAGGTTATGGCGATGGGATGGTGAGATCCGGAGTTTGTTTAGTAGAGAGGCGAGAAGGCGAGGGTTGGGTGTGGTTTGTATAAACAGATGGTGAAGCTTACTGATAAGAGGTTTATGTAGTCTCGAGAGTAAGATCAAGAACTTGGTTGCATTTATGTACATATGCCTGCATGCCCCTGACTACTGCGCTGTCTTGGCGCTTTAGTTCATACATAAAAAGCCAGAAATTATATGCCCTACTCTGCAATAGGTCCTATTGTGAGACTTTAGATACTTATCTGACAATAGGGCTAATTATGCCAGATTGGACGTAGGCCATAGCACGAGGACGCGTGTATTGTGGATGCGAACATGAATAGCAGCAACAACATGCACCAAAAGCAGGAGTTCGCTGTCAAAACTTGACCCGATTCTGTAAGCTCATGTGCATAGGTTTCTTAGTATAATTACTAGTACATTGTCGTAAATAATATGCGAAGCGACAGGACTGCAGAGCCACACCGACAATCTTGCCGGTTCTGTTCTTAGTGCTGACTCCTAACTTCACTAAACATGTTTCTTTATAATGTCCCGTGTCGATCACTTTATCTTCCAAGAAAGTAGGCATTAGCAGCCAATTGTCCCACCGTCTCGTGCGACCCTTTTCTGGGTAAATCCTGCTCGTAAGTATATACTCTCATGATGCCCAGGAAACTACATCCGCACAGCGGCGTCTGAACTCTCAAAAGAGATTGCATGTTCTAGGGTAACAGATATCATTCACACACTAGTAACAGATGTCATGGTTACTATGTGTAATGACATCCATGTTAGCTGCGTATTCGTGATGTTTGTGTCTTGGCACTCATACTGTATAGACGAAAAGCTTGTCTCGCAGCTACTCAACGGTCACCACTATGTATAATATTTATACACCCAAGCCTCTCTCTGTTCCGGGCAGTATGGCAAACTTCAGTTTGCGATGTATCCTTAGAGAGTCATACGACCAGGCGACGAAATCCTTGCAACTAAAAATAAGATCCGTGAGTGCATCCTATGTGAACATGCGAGACAGATCATTGCTATCATGATATTATTCATTGGATATAATCACCGGAACCTAGCTAATGCACACGGGCTTGCATTTGTTCAAACATCTCGACATTAACCTTATTCATCATCTTGATCATCAATCATAACTCTCTTCCATGTTCCCGCTGGCTAGCAATTACAGTGTATACCTGAATCCCTCGAGCCCCTCAATAATCTTACCACCACTGGCAGCTCTCTTGTTTGCTCTCCAGAACTTGAAGTTCAGCAAGAGCGTGATAAGGATAATCATGCCTGCTGAGATCATGCAGGCAATAATACCAGGGACGTATTTGGGAGCGTCCTGGGTCCGGAAGACTGTGCCACCAATTATACCGCCGACTCCTCCGGCTCCAACGAGGGTAGCAGAGCAGAGAGCGCGCTTCCATTGACCACGGATGTTGTTTGCTTGCCAGGTGAGAATGCAGGGAACGTTGGCATTGGCTGCTGCGGTAGCGAGAAAGACCCCTGGGAGATGTTTAGCATATGAACTGAAGGCAGGTTACATAGTATAACTTACCGAAATATCTGACACCAGTATTGGAGCTGAAGCCCATCATAGGGAGGCCAATAAGAGCAAGGACACCGTTGGCAATGACCCAAGGAGAGCGGATCTGGTACTTGTCACCAGCCCACGCGAAACCGATCATGACAAATCCAGCGAATACGTAGGGCGGGGCGATGAGACAGTTACTAGCAGCAGCGCTGAAGCCCATTCCGTCTTTGAGGATGATGGGAAGGAAGTACGCAATAGCGTACGTAATCGTAGTGGTAAACATGAAGATTAGTGCGAAGCCCCAGACCTTGAGGTCCATGCCGCCGGCGAGGTACTTCTTGAGGTCGAATTCATCGGCGACGACATCGTGGCGGTCCTGCTCGATTCTTGCAACAATGAAGTCCACCTCTTCCTGTTCGAGGAACTTCTTTTGAGCCCTGCTCGGCTTAGCAGCCAACTCTGGGAAATCCACAATATAGTACCATCCGACCAGACCGATGACGACGGTAATGATTCCCTGCAGCATGAAGATCCAACGCCAGCCAGACAAGCCTGGGCCAAATCCGACGGGGGTTTTGGGCGCTTTCTTTGTTGGACCATAGTGCGGGCCGAGCCACTCCGCCGCTTGATAACCATGGCCATTGAGCAGGGAGAAGACATAACCAAGGATGCCGGAGAAGGCTGAGGACAACATTCCGATGAGGAAAAAGAAGGTGTTGCGCTTTTGAAGCTCGTACCGTTTGTACCAGCAAGAAAGAAGGTATGCGGAACCTATTAATGTTAGCATTCCATCTTTCTTCTCTTTTCTAAGATTTGGAGAAGGTGTTTCTACACATACCCGGGAAGAAGCCGCTTTCTAGCACACCTAGCAGGAGGCGGAGCGGAATCAGAGCAGTCCACTCCTTGACGAAGCCGAAACCAATCATGACAGCTCCCCAAAGGACCACAATGGATGGCAAAAAAAGCTTTGGGCCAAATTTTCTCAGGACGACAGTAGCGGGAGGCTGCAGTGCAACATAGGTGATGAAAAACAGCAAGACAATAATGCTGTATCGCTCGCCTGTGAGTTTCAGGTCGACACCCATGCCTGCTACCATGGCGACACCAAGATTGGTACGGTCCATGAGCGAGACACAGTACATGCAACCGAGCGTAGGGATAAGCCGAAAGTCCACCTTGCGAATAATCTTCTTTTGTTGCTCAGGAGTAAACCGCTCGATAGCAGCGTTGTTAGCTGACGTGTCGGACTCGACGCGTTCGATGGCGGCAACATCGCCTTTCTCGTCGGCGAAAGAGGACATGATGGTATCGGTTTGTCCAACAACTTTCTGGGTATGTTACAGAAGCACTGGTGCTCAATTGCCCCGCCAAGTGCTTCAGGGGTCGACCAAGTCGATGAAAGAGGAGTGAGGGCGCAGCTACTAGAAAAGAGGGAGCTGATGATGAAAACAAGAATCCTCAGCTGACTGTGGGATATGTGCCTTCATATACTCAGGGGCTTCCCCAGATTGTGGAGCTCCATCTTCCCCAGATTCCTTCGCCGTCGGCTCCACCGTACCCCAGACTCAACAGCACGGTCAGCCTGTATGTCCCTACCCCATATGTGGAATAGGTTCTCCTGAACTATCGCTAACAAGTCCCATTGGCCTACGCCCGATGCGATTTTCAAGAGTTATAGTTTCGGAGGCAGCTTACGGTAGCAGTTAGCAGGCCCGCATACCAAGAAGGACCGAACAGTTGGCAGGCTGTGGATGCGCCACCCTGACACTGACAGCATGCCGGTATCTACTCCGGGACACGACAGTAGCGCCTTGCGGAACGATTTTGATGGTCACGCCCAGTCGTACCCCGCGTGGGAATGCAGTGGACTACCATTAAGCTGAGCAGGTTGTGACAAGCTGAGGTCTCGGCGGACGCATAGTGCGCAATCCGCCGTACGCTACAGGCACGCGGCGTCGGCCTAGACTCTTGGCTAAGGCTGGTACCCGCGTGTGTCTTGCCGATTTTCTTGGTCTTTGCGTATAGTCAGGGCATTATCCGCTGGTGTTGAGGTTGGGTACACAGACAAGATGTCATGAAGGTGCGGAAGCTTTCTCTATCCACGTACCCCTTGTGCGTAAGACGGGGTACAGTAATCGACACGGCAAAGGTAGGGGCTGATCCGACACGCAAATCAGACCTGAATTGGTTCTTTATACATGATTGTTGAGTCTGAATATCCATGTTTATTGAAGAACGGATCATGTGAATGTTTGCGTTGCTATGTGATAGAGATTGAGCATGTATATAGCGGAAGTTTACCGCCTTCATGTGTTGCGCGTATCATTACCCCACCTCCAGTCAACCCATCGATGATCGCATTGTACATCATACTGAAGCAACGGCAACTTGAGCGGGAGTTGAAACGTTTTCCGCGAGCTTGGCTTGACATCATATCAATTTGTTCCACTCCCAACAATGTTTATTCTTGTTCATCTTTCTGCAAAAGCTCCCACACTGTCGTTACGTACAGCAACCATTCCACTTCTGCTACCCGCAAGCCACATGTTTGCATCACCGGGCGCTGGAATTGAGTTCGATGTCGTCGAAAGTGCCGAGGCTCGGAGTCAGACGCTTATTCGTCAAGGCTTCGTGGCGTCTTGGGAGAATCAGAAGACTGCAAAGCATACATGCCTATTTCGGACAAACTTTGCCGACTGAAGTATACATATCATACCAACACATTAGCGTGTTGATATTTTCGGTGTCGCGTCCATTGTAGGTTGGTCCAAGAGGAAACATGTTGTCAAAGGCGCGGCCGAAGGGAAAGCCTAGACGAACACAGCCCTGATGAAAGAGGCAAACAAGACACGCGCTGGGCACACAAAAGTCTCACGCTAGAGGCTGAAGAACGGCGATTGCCCGAACCAGGGTTGTCTCGTGGTAAAATCGCCGGGGTACCGCTGAGTCGGGTTACGCAGCGCTCGATACGATGGCTTGAATCTAGATGTCTTCCGACCGAAGAGATCTTGTCTTAAGTAGATAACCACGTGGGAGAAAAAGCCGGTGAAGGGTCCGCAGTCCAATCATTGGTGGTTAAGACCTAGTTGTATCACTCAACTCAAAAGGAAGAGTGCGCAAAATGCAACTGTCAATTTTCTTTTGGGCAAAACAAAACCACTACTTGAAATCCTTTTCGCTCAAAGAATCTTCTGTCTTCTGTATCCTTTCCCATGTCTCACTCCACTTCTCCCATTCACCATCCGGTAGCTTTCCCTGGATCGGCAGCCGTCCGCCTTCCATAGTTCCAAAACCGGTTACTCTCTTTACAGCCTCTTTGATGCCGACGACGCCATATTTACCAATGAACTCTTCTGTTGTGCTAACAGTGTATTGCAACTCCTTGATCTTCTTGAGGTTCTCATCGGTGATGGGCCTTGTCTCGGCAAGCTTCATCAAGGAGCACACAGTCTTGGGATATATGGCGGCGAGCCCGTCAATGACACCAGCTGCGTCAAAAATGACAATGGGACCCAGTTGTTGACCGAGACCAGAGTAGACGCGGAACTTGTTGTGGTCGATTTTCGGGTCTAGCGAGACCTGGTTGTGCCATGAGACGACGGCATGCGACATCTTGCAACCGACAATGTTGGGGTGTTGCGCGAGGACGCGGTAGGTATCAGGTGTTACCATGACTCCGTTTGTCACGCCGGGGTAGTTGTAGCTAGCATTTGTTAATTCATATCGCCTCTCTCTGTCTTTCGTGGCCTACATCAGTATTGGTAGCGGGCTCTTGTCTGCAACAACAGTAAACCACTCTCTAATTCCCTCTTGACTCGCTGCTGCACCGAAATACCCTGGCGCAAGCACCAGTCCCCACTGTGCACCGGCTTTCTTGAAGTCCTCTAGCCACTCCAATGTCTCATCGACGCTGTTGATCAGTGTTCCCGCCATGATCGGATAGTCCTTGAAGCCCGCGTCTTCGAGTCCTTTGCGCACTCCAGACACGACATCTATACGCTCTTGTCGCGACATGTGGATTGCTTCGCCGGTTGAGCCAAGCAGGACAAGCCCGCGCACTCCATTTTTGGCGAGAAACACTGAATGATCGATTTGTGTCTGGACGTCTACGGCGGCTTGGAGGGTACTAGATGCAGACTTGGGTTTGAAAAACGTCGGGACGGGGACGAAGACGCCGGTTGGTGGGGATAACGTCATAGTAACGGTTCGTAAGGGGAACTTTGTTTTGCTTTTTTTCAACGTCGACTTCCCTTGCAGAACGAAATGATATGTGCTGATTGATTTTTGATGCTTTCAGAGGGTTTTCGCGCTTTATTGCGTGCAGGGCGCATTAGCAGCTCGGGTTGCTCTACCCCAGTTCCCGAAGTTGCGTGCCCCGCGGTGGAGAAGATGACCCCGCGCTCGCTGCCGCTCGGGGTAGTACCGCGAAGAGTACCTGACTGTAGAAGCGGTTTAATTGGACCGGAAAGCACGTCGGGTTTTGGACATGGCCGTACAGTTACTTTCTTCCCGATGGCTGGCTCTTTTTAAATGTCACATTTTCTTCGATATAATCACTTGAAACATTATCTAGCCCAGCCTTGGCCTAATTTATCACAAAAGACTACGTCCTGAGAATAAGAAAATGGGAAAGATTGCAACTATCGAGTATTTCAGAGTACCACCGCGATGGCTGTTTGTCAAAATCACTGATGTCGACGGGAACTTCGGCTGGGGTGAAGCTTCCCTTGAAGGCCACACGCAAGCAGTCGAAGGATGTCTAGATGCCTGGGCAGCGCGCTATGTCGGTTTTGAAGCCGAGTAAGACGTTCGATATCTCCAATTTGAGACCAGCTAACAATACTCTAAGTGACATTGAACACATCTGGCAGATGTCTTGGCGCACTAGCTTCTACCGCGGCGGTCCCGTCTTCATGAGTGCATTGGCAGGGATCGATATTGCCCTCTGGGATCTAAAAGCACGGAAACTAAACGTACCAATATACCAATTGCTGGGAGGTAAAGTCCGGGACCAGTTGAAAGTATACGCTTGGATCGGTGGAGATCGACCAAGTGACGTTAAAGAACAAGCGTAAGTGACCATCATAAGATCAGCGTTTAAGACAAATTTGGTTTTTAACAAAACACCTACAGTCTTAGCCGTAAAGCACAAGGATTTCACGCTGTAAAAATGAACGCCACTGAAGATGTTGGTTGGCTCGATAGCCCTTCCAGCCTCGAATCTGCTGTCGACCGTCTCAAAACAGTCAAAGAGCTGGGAATGGATGCTGGCATGGACTTCCACGGCCGCGTCCACAAGCCAATGGCGAAACAACTAGCCAAAGCTCTCGAACCACATCACCCCTTATTTATCGAAGAGCCGCTGCTATCAGAGCACATTGGTGGCATCACTTCCCTACACACCCAGACCTCCATCCCCATCGCGCTCGGCGAGCGTCTCCACTCGCGCTGGGACGTGCGCCCTTTCCTTGAAGCAGGCTGCGTCGACATTCTGCAGCCTGACATTTCGCATATCGGTGGTATATCAGAGATGAAGCGAATAGCAGCTATGGCGGAAGCCTATGATGTAGCTATCGCTCCCCACTGTCCTCTTGGTCCTATAGCACTCGCAGCCTGTGTCCAGGTCAATTGCACGCTGTCTAATTTTACCATTCAGGAAATGAGCCTCGGTATCCATTACAACGCTGGTAGCGAGGATCTTACGTCGTATACGAAAAACCCAGAGGTATGGGATGTGAAGGACGGTTTTATTCGGTTGATGGAGGGACCAGGTTTGGGTATTGAGGTCGATGAGGAGTGGGTGAGGAGGGAAAGTAAGGAGGCTAAGGCTTGGTTGGTTCCTGGATTTATCGGGCCTGGGGGTGAGATTAGAGAGTGGTAGTTGCAGTCAATTGTGACAATCAAGTTCAAGCAGCAGGCAGTAAACTTCTTTTATATTCCGACTTTGCTGGTTCATCGTTTGCTTCAGCCCACTTCTTTGGTGTTCTGTCATATACATACAGCACGAGACGTGATTCTTTACGTCGTTACCAAGATCCAGGTACGCCTCCACAGATAATCATTGAGTGCTTTCAAATAGCTCCATGATTCCCTGATTTGCTGCTCTTCGACCTGAGGCAATCCCTGAACGCTCGGGGTAGGGAGGTGTCGGCGATTCACCCAAAAGTCCAGAGGAATGTCTGATGAGCGGGGAAAGATTGGTCGGCTTAAGCCCACTCGACAGGAAAGGCGTCGGAGGGATGATCATATGTTGCCTCTCTAGTACGCATTCCAAGGTCGTGAAAGATGCGGTTACGTCGGCCACAGAATTATTCGCCTGTTCATGTTCGGAACTACTAGCCTTCTTCGTTCCTACCTGCGGTGACACTTGTGCAACGAACGATCCTGGATGTTCCGTCACACTCTGGTCTATTTCCTCGTCATTGTATACAGTGCCACCCCATAGCAGTGCCTCCCATGGCCATACGAATCCATCGTCCTCCCATGGCCAAGTGTGTGTTTCGACGTACTCGAGCAGTGCGACAACAATGAATATAATAGCTCCCACACCAAGGAACCCAACCTGTTTTCTTCGTTAGCGCTTTAATTCTGTAGAAAGTCATCAGTAGGCTGGAGAAAGTACCTACCACTGCTGAGCTCAGCTCTTCTGGTCGCGGGAACCACCCTGGCTGCTCAAACTCGGCAATGGCGAAGACCAAGACGAGAAAGAGACATAGGCATGAATAGTAATTGTTTGTAAGGGTTTTGGATATGACGCAGTATTCCGATCGGAGAGGGGCAGGAAGGAAGTAATCGACGATTGTCGTGGTGACACGATGAAGCAGCGTCGGCGTTGCGACTGCCCGGGACTCTTTGTCGCCGGTTTGTAGCACCGGAGCCGTGCAATACGGCATTGCGCCAGTGTAATGGTTATCCATAATTATTGCGATTAAAGCGCGGATGCTGTTCAAGACGTTGATATAGTGATGAGTGGGTCAGTTAGCTGTGAGGTGCACCTTCCAGTGACGAAAAGAAAAATCCGAAAGCGGCTGGAGGAAAAGTCCTACTTACCAGTGAATGTGAAAGTGAATCATTATCAAAGCTACAGCTAGATGCTTCGATTGTGAATACACGTCACCCAGCCTTTCTTAGACCTTGGGGAAAGCGTTCGAAGCTTTTCATGTTTGCCCTTCGCTTGTTTCCTTCAGAAGGCACTTCTGCCCCGTCATATCACCCAATAACGCATCGATGTAATTTAACATTGTGTTATCAGTCTTACGGTGGTGAGAGCGCTGGGCAGAGCAAACAAGACGTGCGTGTTACACAACAGGGCTTAGTAATGGATAGTTAAGCGCCCTCGGTCTACGCCGCAACTCAAGCTCCTAGACGTTTCCCCTCCTCTCTCTTTCACCCTACAAAATATCTATTGAATCGCCTACTTATTGTAAATGAGCATATTCCATCAACAGCAGCTTTTGTTTCTTGCGATACCAGCTGACGCCAATCACTACACTTCCTCCCGCGGTTTCCCTCTTATCGTCAGCCTCGCCAACTGCACGCGCCACACCAACCTAGTCAGAAAACTTGCACTTTGTTACGTTCCACATACGTTCACGGCAAAAGATGGCTTCCACACAGTACCAGCATTACATTCCGCAGTTCATGCTGCGAAGATTTGCGGTAGTTGAACAAACAAGCCCATCTAAAGTTTCGAAGCGCAACCGAAAGAGTGAAAAGCAACGTCGCAATTACCATGCCACTGTCAAAGTGCTACATCTGAGAAGAAGTCCACCCGAGATCACAGATGAATTTGTCAGACGGACTTTTGGCCAACAGGGCATGTACAACGATGGCCTTAAGGACCGTGTAGAAGCAAAATTGGGGGAGATCGAGAGGGAAGTGGCCCGAATCATAGCTCGAGTGGTAGATGCACAGGAAGCAGGCAAGGAGAGTATACCACTCCTACGCTACGAAAAAGACTTGTTGCGCAAGTTCCAGTTCGTTATGAAGTACCGTTCTCCAATCTTCTTTCATCGCTTCAATCATCAAACCGCTGAAGATTACAATTCAGACGATAAGGAAGAGTTTCTGGAATATATGCTGGCCAATGATTTCCAAAGTCCTCTTGAAGTGTGGCTCGACAATTTGACAAAGATGATCGATATCCCTATGGATCCAGACTGTCATTGGATACAGGAACTTCGGGGGACGATCTACCCTCCTGATGCGGATTGGTTCATTTCCAACTTTCAATCTATGTATATGGCTTTTGTTACGCCCTCGGACCCCCAAGAAGAATTCATTCTAACACAGAATGCGTTCAGCATTCATGAAGGGCCTGTTAGTTACTCTGTGGACAGATTTACAGGCGAGAAGAAAGAAAAAGCCTATACAGAATTTCACCTGCTTACAATCATCACACCTCGGCTCGCTATCGTTTTCCGTAGTAACTACATGCCAGAGCCGCTCGAAGATCTTATTCCAGAGGTCCGTGAGTGGAAAACAACCGTGTTGGCTGCAATCGCGTCGATACACACGGATCCAGAGCACACAACATCCTTACTCGAGGATCTCCCCATCGCAAAACCTCGAAATTCTTATACTACTGTTAGAAATGGGCTGCTCGAGCTGGCTGAAGGTGCCGATGGAGAGCCGAAAAGGAATGACAAATTCGACTTTATTTTCTTTCGCCTTAAGAGTAATCATGCTCAGAAAATTAACATGGTGATGCTAGACCAAGCATGCCATGTTGACGAGTTGGTTTTTAAATCTAAGGCAGCACTTCGACTGGCGCTGGAATTCTATCTGGAATATCCGTGTCTGACACGAGGACTTTATTCGATGAAAACGGTCAGCGACGAACCTGACGACCCGAGGTTGCGATTCTTAAAACATATGGAGCATGTAGCTCGTACTAGGTTGGGATCTAGTACGACTGCCAAGTACCATGTGGATCCGCTCTGGGAAGATGACGAAGCTATGCCTTTTGAGATGGCGGTTGCTCAAGTCTTAGCGACCACAACAGACACACCAGAGAAGGACTGTATTACCTTGGGAATGGAGATCCTCGTAAAGACACTTGAAAAGATGGGATTCACCATCATGCAGATGTACGAAGTGGATCAGACCCCATTAATCGCTCTGCCTACGTATCCGGATTTTGTGTATCAATTCATCCAAGAAACCTGTAGAAAATACCCGGGTCAACGTACAGATCATCTTCTCAAAATTGACCATCAATTATTGATGCTTTCATGGGAGGGTCTTGTGAAGTTAGCAATGAAAAGGGCAGGAAAAGAAATGGATGGAATTGGTATGCCTATTCGACAACGTTCAAGGCATTTCAGCGATATCATGTCTGCCAGGACTCCCCGGGAATTAGAGAGCCCTATGAAGCCCGCATCATGGTCCTTATTACAGGTTCCCATACCCCAGCAAGATTCCTCATCAGGATTTTTCAGACAAGGCCTCAATGAAGCCCTTGAAGACATCGGAAGGCATATGGAGAGGGAGGAGACCTCATCATCTGCACAGAGCCCGGCCAATCAATCACCCTCACATTCGACGACCGATTTTGTTGAGAGTAAAGAAGAGAGTTATTCAGCACAACAATCCGAAGAGATGAAAGCTAAAGGCGAAGCTTCTCTTGACGATGCATTCACAGTTACACCTGTTGTGCTGCCGAACAATCGATATCGGAACACTACTCCATTGGATTGGAAACTCAACATTTTCTGTTTTGTCTTCTTACTGCCTGCCCTGCCCCTCATGTGGCTTGCTTTCACCATCGTGTTTCGTGCTTTGGTTATCTTGTCCTTTGTTTGCGCCCCTACATGGCTTGCTTTCCATAAGGGAGCACTAGATGTGCTGCAAGATCAAGAACCTCTTCCCACCCACCTGAAATTTTACATTCTTCATATGTCTTGCACCGTCTTGTGGTGGTTCGCTTGTTATTGGTTTTGGCTGCCAGATTTGCTGCTAACTGAGCTCCCCTCTGGCTTGACAGTGGCTTGCTTGCTAGTGTCTGTTATTAACGCAATGCGCTCCCGGCCAGACCCTTGGTGAAGCATATGGTCTTAACAGAACGCTGGCTTTTTTCTTTTGTCAAGAAGACCTATTGTACGATAGCATTCGAAAGCAAAAGATTTCAAGTACTTGCTGTCAGAAGCTGTTGATTGGACAGCGCGCTCGTTGTACCTAAATAAGGACAAGAGATACGAAAATTTCGGCGGTCAGGATAAAGACGGACGCGCGGCCATGCTATTGCTGATTAGGAGACCATAGGGATATACTAGCTCCAGATATGGGCCGGTGCGGAGCGAATCACAACGTCTCGGCTGCCCTACTGGATATGGCAGTATTGGTTCGACATGCGTTCCCTTGAAAATATGTATTCAAAATGGAACCATGCGTACTATTCCGTATCGAGTTTGTCGTGGAAAAAGGTCATGTACCCCTTGAAGAGCTACATACGTACCAGCGATACAGACGCGTCGGTACACCCCACACACACGTCATTGTGCATGAGGTCACACGAACACTTGCTTCTTCAAGCCGGACGTTGATGTTTTGTTCTGAAAATTGAGATAGCGCGGTCAGCAAAAATTCAAGTTAGTAGGGCCGACTTTGAGTCGCGGATGTGGGACCGGGGAGTGTACAATAAATCAGAAATCAGGACTGTATATCGCAACGAACAGACTAAGGTATACGACGCGAAGAGTCGGATTGCGCTGTTGTGTGAATGAGTTTGCGATCGGGACGCGTGAGAGAGATGGCCATCTCGACCCCTGAACGCGACCGCGACCGCGAAGCGACATCCTTGCCAGCCGAGCTACTAGCACCACTGAAGAGACGCGCGAGGAACACCACCGAGCAAAACGAACACTACCGCAGGCGACCGCT